ATAAGAATTAGTAATTTTATATGATACTCCTAAGTTGCATTATAGTACGAAGAAATAAGTTATGCTATTTTTATCCCAGTCCATTTGATGATATTAAAATATTTAATCATTTTTTTTAATTCTATTAATTTTTTTGAATGAATTCAAATTAAAAAAAAAACAATTCAATTGTTTGTTACTTGGTTTTTAGGTATGCCAGTTGGGCACAGATTACTTCACCAATGTCCTGTAAGAAAATAATAATATTAGCTGAGTAGTCGTTACACCATACACATTTAAAAACACTTTCAATTTACAAAGTTTACCAATTCTAAGGGTAAATTTTCTAATTTTTTCCTCCTGAAACCTACACGTCCGAACACATTATAAACATTTTAAAAAATAACCAAATCGGTGCAGTCCTTCTCAAAAGATGTAGGTACTAAGGTACTTCACAATGAACAAAATTTTATTTTATTATATAGATTATTATCATGACATTCACCAGTGTTAAACTAAAATAACGAACTCAGTTGAACTCTAAATCCTATCCTATTTACGGGCAGGAAATAAGCCAAGAGTAATGCAAACCAAATATGTAACGATTTGGCTCGTTCAGAAATCAGAGCTCTTCAATTACCATACAGAAACACAATTGTGTATTTATAACGGTATTAAATGGAGAAAATGTTAATGAACAATAGTTAGCAATGCATGTTTTTTTGTTAATGTGATCTTTGCGTAATATAATCCAATTTTTCATGTCATCTATCGTCTTCTATACATATAATAAAATTGTAACTGAGTCGAATCTGTACATTATTTTTTTTTTGGAAATCTTGTTGAATTAGTCTTTATTATCGACACAGAGGCCAAATCTATAGTTTTTAGAATTTTTGTCTGTCTGTTTGTATGTTTGGGAACGCATCACGAGAAAACCAATTGAAAGAATTTGATGAAATTTGGTATGATGATAGCTGGTTATCCGGGTCAACATATAGGATAGTTTTTACTGCGGGAAGATATCTCATCTCTGAGAAATCTATACTAACCGATACAATCTATGCTATAATAAAACTGTAGAGGTTGAATGTCAGTACATAGAAAAAAAATAGCTAAAAACCGAGTCAGGGGGATCTAAGGAGACAAATAGAACAAATCTAGATTTTTTTCAATTTTTTTGTTGCTCTGTACGGGCTATCCTCCGAATCTATTGGACCGATTTAAATGAAATTTGCATGGTGGTACCTTATATCCCACGGCAACATCTTAGATACTTTTTATCCCGGAAAATTAGAGTTCCCGTGGAATAGTTAAAAAACTATAATAACTTAAACAGCTTAGTATATAACAACTTATGCACCTAATTTAGTTAAATTTGGCATGCTGATACCTTATATTACCGGTCAAATAACAGGTTATTTTTTATCTCGAAAAATAAACGGTTCCCGTCGGATAGATCTGTTTGTGCTTTCCATGTAAATAATAAAAGGGTACAATAACTTTTGATTTTAATGTCTTAATATATATTATGTAGATGTTAAATGGTATGCCTATATATTAAAATAATTTATCTGTTTCCTTAAAATGTTTTCTCACAAAATACTTAAGAGGTTGAATAATGTCGTCTATTGTACGTGACAAGTGATGACAGCCCCGTCTTATCCACTTAGATCTATTTTAGATCAATTGGACCAATAACCGTGAGTGTCAGTGCTAACAACCTTTTTCTTAATTTCGTGCCAAGATGAATGCCCTTAATAAAAAAATATTATTTTTATAATATTTATATTTGTCTAGGATAGCTGTACTGTGTGTTGTACGCTGACTAAATTATTGTTTTGTAGGTTGTAAGATACAAAATATGAAATTATTTTGATAGTAAGTTGCATAAATTAAATAGGTATTTGAATAATATATGAGCACTAAAACTGCTTCGTGCTTCGCCAAATAATACTGTTTAAGTAAAAGGCGTTTGTTTATGATTACGGATAATCGTGAAATAGAGACGTAAAAAGCATGACTACTATATTATTTCTTCAGACATTAAAATATATTACCTATTCCTTATTTTTATTTAAAAGGAACATAGACCTTGGCAAATAATTTAAAGTTATAAATAGCTCGTAGGCAAATGCCTGCAAAATTACTATGAATAAGTATATAGAGTCGAGTTTGCTTACAAGTAGAGCCGGTTTGCGAACCTCACCTATGAGGTCACTGGTCCCTTCCCTATAAGGATGCTATGAATGTATCTGTTAAATTATGAACGTCGAATAATACACATTTCAAGTATTTTAGTTTATCTACACCCAAAAACTTTTATTAAATAATTCTTGTCATGCATCTTGTATTGTAAGGCTTTTAGGATTGATTTAAGTATAGTTTTAGTATTTTTATAGAATAAATCATACATGATTGCATGAAATCTGTTGCTAGTTCATTATGTATGACGATCATCTAAATATAATGTTTAGAAAATATATATATCGAGTTTCAGCATAACCCATTCACATATCTAGATAGAACATACAGTAGCATAAATATCTACTTTCACAAAATCTCCATTTTAGTGTATATCTTATTTAAACTAAGATTATGCCACGTAAATAATGCACGTATTTTATCAATTATGTTTATAAAATTAATTTTTTGAAAGTAATTTATATAGAAGATACATTAGTTAGACTCCCTGGCATGGACCCCCTGTACGTCATTAGTTATAACAGATAATATAGCGTAGTTGGAATGTTGTGAATTATAAAATATAACTCTTATTTATATTTCCATGCTGTCCGATAGACAAGAACCTTGGTGAGTTCGAAATTTTTATTATTTTGATTTTTATGTATGTTTTCAGAATATAAAAACTATTTTCAAGCTATATGCACCCACCGTGTAGATAGATATAAAATACAATTGGATTTATTCTACTTAAATATCATAATCGTTATAACATAGTTTCTCGAAATGTTCACATTTTACCCTATATGAATAATAAAGGCGTGTTCATATGGGTTAATAGTACAATCCATACTATGGGTAGGGCGAGTTTTATAGGAATAAGTAATGTCGCTATTACCTATTACGTCACGTAGACCTTTTACGTGATATAAATGAGTAAAAAATAATTATTCTAACAATGTTTAAGTATATTTACAAAAACAATTATATTTGTTTTATACGATTAACTATAATTATGTATATAGTTATAATATATAGGTATATATAGGTAAAATAATAACTAGAAGGTTCTTTTCTGTAACAAAGCTCGAATACAGCGGGGCTGCAGTAAAATACGTTATGTGGCATAATGCAGATATATGTACCTCTTATGAAGCAGAATCTCGTTGAAAGAGAGACGCAGTTACTGAGATCAATACAGCCTCTTGTACAAGCGCTCTTATATAACTTATCTCATAAAAATACAGGAACATAGAATTGACAATTGATATACTATAACTGCATAAGAAAATATGTTACTTTTATTATTAATGATAATGATAACTAATATTCTGCCTTACTGATATTTTTTTATAAATGCTTAATATTAATTTTAGTATTTTGTTTTTTATTTAAAAGATGACTACGTTACGTTGGACAAATAGTGTAAAGGTTTTTTAAAAGTTCGAAGGCCATGTTTAATGCGTCTATTTCGTGCTACGTGTGAATTATATAGAGGCATAAACGTTTCTTGCGAAATATGACCAAGCGGAATAGAACGCTGTTCTAACATTGATCTTTAGGGATTAAAATTTATTTATCTAATCTTTTTACTACTCAAAGTAAATGTTAACTTTCATTCATTTGAATTATGTCATTTTTGATATTTTCTTAAAAATATTACAAATTCTAATAAGTCTATAGTGTATTGGTATATGGATCAACTGCCTCGCTTCTGTGGTGTAGTGGCTAGCATGTACGGCTGCACACCCGGAGGTCCTGGGTTCGAGTCCCGGGTCGGGCCAAGTTTAGTTACTGAGTCTTTCTGTATAGTAAGCCTCAGTAATAGCCCGGAGTTGGGAAGTTAGCGGTGTTTCACCCCCGTGCCTCGAAGAGCACATATGTGTATATATAATAAAATAGTAACTTAGCTTAAAATCTGTACATGAAATATTTTTAAAAACAATGACTTTAAAAAAAATATCTAAACCTCAAGTTTTATGGCTTTAAAACTTTAGCAGGTATATAAGGAATAAAACTCAGTAAAACGCCCCCGCTGTCCAGCTACCCCCGAGAAATAGGGGGATATAAAATTGAAAAATAGTTTTATTTGTCAATTTCTGGCTTGTTGTGACATCTTACCGAAAAATATTCTTTACAAAAGTTGTTCTTTAAAAAAGATTATATTCCTCTAGTTTCATGAATAGCAAAAAGTTTTTGCAGACATTAAATATATTAAAAAAGAACAAGAAAAAATAAAAATCGTTTTTTTTTGGAAATATGTCGAAAACTTAGTAGTTATTGTAAAAGTCGTAGATTTTTATTAGACCTACAACTTTTGTAAAGAATATTTTTCGATAGGATGTCACAGCGAGGCAGAAATAAAAAAAAAACATTTTTTTTAACGGTTTGCTATACTTGTCTTGTTTGCTATAAACGTCTTAAAAACATAAAACTTCCGGTTCTAATTTTTTGTGTAACACATCGCGATCGGACTATTTGTCTAGCGCTATTTAAATTAAAGAAAATCTTAATAACGAATAAAAACATAATTTGTTTCGAATCAAGGACTTAAAAAATGTATTATTCCCTCTTTTCTTAGATTTCAAACTCCTCAAAAGAGTATATTTGGCTTTGGCTAGGGGGTCATGACCCCACCTGAATCCGCGCTTGTTGGCTAGTCTCAATGAGATTGGCCGCCGTGGCCGGAATCGGTCAGGAGAACATCACATCACATATGGATTTAACCTTAAATTATATGTAAAATGAATATAAACATACCTATTACAATTTCATTTATTATATTCTTATATAAAACTATAAAATTTCAAATTTGATGATTATTCGGATATCTACAGGTGCGTTCCGGAGCATCGGAGAGAAGACTGCGTCTCTTTTCGAAAGAAAGAAGAAGGATGCCGAACAGATTGCCCAAGAGAAGGCGGCTGAAGCCGCTCACGTGGTCGAAGAACAGGTGAAGAAGGCTGGGGAGCTCGTCAGTGGCGCAGAGAAGACTGCTGCTGATGCTGCCAATTCTGGTACGTAACCATGGGAAGTACAATCTGTATATAAAAGCGATGGAATAGGTGTTCGATAAATAAAGATTTTTGGAAATTCAACCCCTAAAGGGATGAAAAATGGGTTCAAACTTTGATGAGTTAGGAAACGCTAGTCGGCACAAGACGTCTATATGTGCTTTCTGACCCATACACTGGTGGTGAACACCGCTACCTTCTGAAATCCGAATTCCGGGTGGCCACTAAGAATTTATTAGCAGATTACAATAACTATTCTAGACCCGACCCGGCACAAATTATGTAAAGAATTTTAAACATTTTTTTTTTCATCAGGATCATAGACACAGAAGAGAAAAAACAAAGGAAGTGCGATTACACTATATTTGTATCGGAACCTGTGTCGCCAAACACACACATTAACACCATTAATCATATGTATATTGCACTACTAATAAACAACCATTCTAATATTAGTGTTTTATTTTAGTCAAAATTAGCATAATTACCAATATCCCATAATTAAAAATTAATCTTTTTTCACTATAATATTTACTTTGCTATACTGTTATAGTGCCATTTTATATTCTAACAAAGATGGCGTAATCTAATTATTGTTAACTAATATTTAAATTTAATAAAATAATATAGATAACTCAATTAATGTCAAAAGCTGTTTTTTTTTGTTTGAGCACGTAAATCTCTGAAGTCTGAAACTACGAGCTCGACTTCACACATTATTTTCGTATTTTATATATTTCAGAAGTAATCGCTAATTGCATTTTTAATCGTGATTTCCTATGGAATTCAATATAGTATAGTACAAATTCATATGTACCGAGAAATAATTTTCAAGATTAAAAAGATTTTAATTTATATGTAAGCATAATGTGGTTAAAACTATATGGTACAGATAATGTCTGTCCAGTTTTAGTAAATTACATCTACATATCACTGATTTGATAGTTGATTTGACATTCTAACAAATAATTCATATTTTGAAACTAAGCTTTTTAGAAAACAAGTAAAATCATGTTTAATACCATTGTACTAAATATCACCATTACTAAGATTTTTCTTTTATCATAATAACTTTAAAATGAACTCATAATTGTAGAAAACTAAGAATATTCATAGGCGTGCAATCCGGCGCGATGTTAGAACTCGACTGACATCAAGTAAGCGTTGCTACGCCTAATTGTGACACGCGCCACGCCTACTTCGCATTTCCCTTGTTTTTTATCTTACATGATCATAGGTAGATAATATTAGGTCATTTAATATTTTGTATAAAGTGTCGCCTTAGCCCGTTGCCTTTACCTTGTTATAATTAATTGAATTGTTATTGTATTGCTTCTCGATACTCATTTGAGTTATTTTGTTATATATTTAATGCGATAAAATTGGAAAATCGGTGCATTACACATAAAATTACATTCCTCTTTTTTATATTATTTACGTAAAGACGATCAAAAATAGCCCATTAAGTAAACTGTAGGTATAATAAATATGTAAATAAATAAATATGCTAGGACATTAACACACAACACCATCTAGTTCTATGGTAAGCTACGAGGCCTGTGGTTATGGATACCAGATAGTTGATACGCTACACATATATAAACACTCATGACTGAAGTACAAACATTCGTGCTCATCACAAAATAAATGCCCCCAGCGGGATTCGAACCCGCGAACGCTGGCACAGTAAGTACAAACTGAGCCAAATGTGTCATCAATATATTAATATCTTAATGTTGACAAATATAGTTATATAAATATTTGTTTGTAGGTTAATATGATTGTCGAAACATTTAAAAACAAAATAAATAAATAAATGTAGGTATAAAACAAATATTTATTAATTCTTTACTTATACCTACATAATAATGTACAAATAATTATTTGAACGACGAGGTTATTTCAGTATATTTAATAATGCTATCTTTAAATTAAAAATATGTAACAATTCCAAAAGTCGAGTACAATAATATAATTAATTATGTAGACTACATTTTTAACGTAATAACCTTGAGCTGTGTCATGGTCTATTGTAATTAAGTTAAGTATACTTTGTAATTAGAACTATCAAATCCTGTTTATTTTCCCAGGCCATAGACTGACAGAACTGCTTTTTTTATTACATAATTATGTTTTTTAATATATGCTTAGAGATTTTATTTAAGCAATAAATTGTAAAAATTGTAAAAACGTGTGTCTGTGTTAATATTTAACACTGACTGGACTTTGAAAAACATATTTTTAAACTAGCATTGCCCGTGGCTCCGCCCGCGTTCACTTGCCCAAAAACCAAATTCTTAGGTTTTACATATTAGTATACTTTTACATTGCAATTGTTGTATTTTTTCTCGGAAATGAGACATTTTGCCGCGGTAAAATGTATCCTATATGTTGACCCAGACAACCAGCTATCACCATACCAAATTTATCAAAATCCCTCCAGTGGGTTTTCTGTGATGCGTAACAGACAGACAGACAGACAGACAAAAATTCTAAAAACTAGATTCGGCCTCTGTATCGATAATAATGTTTACTCAGACAAATAAAATACTTTTTTATTGGTCTGAGAATGTTTATTTCAATAAGATTTTCCAAAAAATATTTAATTTACAGATTCGACTTAGTTACAATTTTATTGTATGTGTAGATAGAAATATCATATTGCCATTTGAAAATCGAAACTACAATAAACATATTAAAAAAATCACAATGAGCGAGAAAAATATCTAATAATATAGACAGACAGCTACTAGCTAGACAACAATTCGTTCAATAATAATTTAAGAGTCAATGACCTTGATAAATTTTCCGTAAAATATTCCGTAGAACGACGAACTTAATCTATGTCACATAATTACACAAGCACCTAGAATATAATAGGTACGTTATATAGATTTATATAAAATAATAATATAAAATGTAAAAATAACAATATGACAATGGGGTATTTTATTTATGTTAGGGTTTAGTATATTGTGATAATTTTTAAAATTTGCTCTATTAGTTTCTTTCATTAGTATGTCAGTGTTGTCTGTAGGTGATACTTTCCTATATGACTCGTGTATGCTTACCTAATCTGATGGTTTATATATAGGTTCAGACCCATGCAGAAAATGTGCCAATTTTTTTAGTGTAAACAGTGATTAAAAACAAAAATGATAGAAAAAAATAGTTTCTTTCTAAAGATTGCTATTAGATTTTTGAAGACCTATTAAAAGATATCTCACAGACTGTAATATTAATGTAATTTCATTTATCCACCAGCCAACAATGCCAAGCATTCAGCAATCGACGCACTGGATAAGGAATTGTCGAAGGTGTCCCTCGCTGCTGGAGAAGCTAAGGATGCTGCTAACAAAGCCGTCGCTGATGGCAAAAAAGTCGTTGATACTACGAAAGGTGAGTGAAAATATAGACCAATCTGGTTAAATTATATGAATTTCCAATCAAGGAAAAAGGGCTTTTATAAATGAATGGAAAATTGAAGACGTAAAGTAGAAAGTAAGTAATTTCTTGGTAGTTGATCATATTATGTTTTGTATTTCAAGCAACGTAGACATATTTTTATTTTCTTTTTCTATAGGAAGAATTCTATTTCATATGCTAACTATTTTATTTAATGTTGATTCGCCATATTTTAAATTTTAAATAGATATTTATTTTCATGTCTTACTTAATTTTCGTTTTGCTTTTCTTTCCAATCGTGTAGATACTATTGCTACTACGGTTGATAACACGAAAAAAGCCGCAGAATCTGCAATTAATACAACCAAAGGTAAGTTTTTTTTATGATTTACCATATCCATATATAGTATGACAGCACATTTCTAAGAAATTATAAACACTGCGAATGTTCTAGAAACTGGAAAAATATTTCAAAATTTAACGTGCACTAAATTTGGCATGCCATTCTATGTTAATAACAATAATTTTTCAATGGTTTGGTTTAATTAGGGTTATATTGCGATGCTTATTATATTTTATTTCTATCTTGTAGATACATTATCAAACGTAGCACAAAGCACAGTAGATAAAACTCAAAAAACTGCCCAATCTGCTTTAGACTCTGGAAAATCATATGCCGCTAGCGCTAAAGGTATCGTAGAATTGTCACAATAGTTATAACTTCCATATATTTTTTACATTAAATAATATTGATTTAATCATATTATCAATTTTAGATACATTAGCCAGTACAGTAGATACGACACAAAAAACCGCTCAGTCAGCTTTTGAAAGTGGTAAAACTTATGCTACTAACGCTAAAGGTATAACTTTTAACATTTAATTGTGAATTATGCAGTTACTGAAAATAAAAAATAAAATACATTCATATAACTTATATTTTAGATTCAGTAGCAAGTTCAATTCAAAGTACAGTAGATTCTACTCAAAAAACTGCGCAATCCGCACTTGTTGCTAGCAAAGATTACGCGACCAGCACTAAAGGTATTAATTATTGGTTAAACAAACAATAAATATTATATAATATAATATTTGATACATAAAATTAAATACGATCATAAAACAAAATTATTATTGTAGATTCAGTATCAAGTACTTTACAAAGCACATTAGATGCTTCAAAGAACACAACGCAATCTGCAATAGACGCTAGCAAGCAATATGCTACGAGTGCCAAAGGTATTTAGATGTCCAATGAAAAATGCATTTTTACCATTAATTTTACACAGATTACCATTAGTTTTTAAATTTTGTAGATGCTTTAGCCAGCACTATTCAAAGTACAGTAGATACAACACAAAAAACGGCACAATCTGCGTTTGAAACTGGAAAATCTTATACAGCATCTGCTAGAGGTAGATTGTGAATAGATATTATATATTCTTTGATTTTTTTATATAAAATGATTTACAAGAAATAGGACATGAAGTTAAATCTGGAAATAAATTTTGGAGATAATTTTAAGTACCTATTATTTTTATTACTTTTGTAGATACAGTGGCAGAAACCGTAGATAGTGCACAAAAATCGGCACAATCTGCACTAGATACGAGTAAATCATATGTTGCAAGTGCAAAAGGTACACGATTTAGGTTGTTTTAGGTTTAATATATTAAATTAATTATGAATCAGAATTTACCACAGAAACCAAATTAGAATAATAAAAATAATAAACCATATACTATTATTGTAGATACAGTAGCAAATACTGTACAAAGTACAGTAGATTCTACCCAAAAAACAGCACAATCCGCTCTTGAAACCGGAAAGTCATATGCTGCATCCGCAAAAGGTACTTTATATAAAATGATTAATTTTAAAATTTATTATGAATAACATTATACGTTAACCTAATAAAATACTATTTCAATAGATTCCGTGGCAAATACAATTCAAAGTACAGTAGATACAACACAAAAAACTGCTCAGACTATGGTTGATACTGGAAAAACTTATGTATCTAACGCTAAAGGTAATTTAGATATAAATATTTAAAAAAAACATTATTTGTAATTTAATTTGTATTGTTTTACATCCATTTCTAAATTTTCAAGATGTTTTGTAGTAGTTTATATTTTAAAATATGACTACAAGCCTTACCTACTATAATGGCTCATTAAAAAATCTTTCAAACATTTAATTCCTTTCATAGTACGAGAAAATACATTTCATCTTTCTATTTACTATAATGTTCATCAGTAAATATATTATTTCAATAGATACTGTAGCAGATTCTGTCAATAAATCTATTGAGGAAACTAAGAATATTACAAATTCAGCCGTAGATACCACTAAAACGTATGTGGATAACGCAAAAGGTAGAAAAATGAAGTAAAGAACAGCGTGCAATTTTGTTGTATTTAGTTTTTTCTTATTTTGTGTCGCTAATATAACGTGTGTTGTTTTAAAGCTTGTATAATTTCTCATTGTATGAGTAACTAATTCCAATAAATTCAATATTTTTTTGCTTCATATGCGTACATCTACGAATATCATCGTTTTTATATCACCCAATTATAATGTCAGCAGTTTTACTATTATTGTTTCTAATTTATGAGTGGTTTGCTTTGTTTTAATTTTATGTTTTTTGTTGCCGATTAACAAATTTAGATTCAGCACAAAATACATTGCAATCAGCATTGGATTTTTCAAAGAGCTATGCGTTTTCTGCTTACGATGTTGGAAAGAGTTATTTAGATTGCGCTAAAGGTTAGACTAGACGCTTGTATTGTTAGCTTTTGTGACAATGCTATAATTGAACGTCTCTTTCTTTTACACATACATATATATTGAATGTAATTTGTAGAAACTGTAGCAAGCACAGTAGATAGTACCAAAAAAGCCGCTGAGCATACTGTAGAAACGGGAAAATCTTACGTGGATTCTGCAAAAGGTAAAATTATTTAATTAGAAATCAAATATTTTTTGAACTGAAAACTGCTATAGGCAGGTTTGGATGGGGAGTAAATTCATGTAAGTCGTCCTCGACATGGTCACGTGACGTGTTAACGCTAACACTCAGAGTGCCGATAGATGTCAAAACCAGATAAATGTAAACAGTTTTAATTTACAAATTTTAATCGATCAAACAATTAATTTGAATATCCAAAAATAACAAGTTTGTTTATAGTTTTAAGTTTTCACTTCTGTCGGCAATCTTTATGACTGCTTTTTTTATTTACGGCTTTACATGAACATAATTTTCATTTGTAGATTCAGTACAAAGCACAGTTCAAAGTACAATAGATAGCACTAAAAACGCAGCTTTTTCTGCTGCTGAGAAGGGAAAGAGTTACGTTGACACAGCTAAAGGTAACAAAAATAGTTTTCATTTATTTGTTTTTTTTTTTAAATATTGGAATAGTTTTAATAGCCGTAATTTATACCAAAATCATTACATTGTAGATACAGTAGCAAGCACTGTTCATACCACAGTAGATAGTACTAAAAACGTAGCTTCATGTGCGTATGATAAGGGAACAACTTTCATTGGAGGAGTGAAAGGTAAAGATATGAATAATTAAAAATATGATATATATTTATGTACTCTTCATATGACATGAATTCCTTAAAGCAATAATTTTTCATTATTGAAAAATACTTAATAGTTCTATGCACTACTTTTAGATACTGTAGCAGGCACTGTTAATACAACTGTAGACACAACTAAAAATGTAGCAGCATCAGCTGTTGATAAGGGCACATCCTTAGTAGGCGCAGCTAAAGGTATATTATATTTACCTTCTCACAGAAATAAATACTTTGCTTTTATTGCATATTTTTGAGATACTTATAAATGTTTTGTAGACACCGTAGCCAGTACAGTAGAATCAGCAAAGAATGTAGCAGCTTCCGCCGTCGATATGGGATTTGCTGCTGTAGGTAGCGCTAAAGGTATTAGATATATTATTTTTTGGATTTTTTTACAGTTTTGTTATAAAACGCGTTATTTTTTTTTTATTTTTTTTTTGTAGAAACGGTAGCCAGTACTGTACAATCCACTGTAGATACCACTAAAAATGTAGCAGCATCGGCTATTGAAAAGGGAACATCCCTAGTAGGCGCAGCTAAAGGTATAATTTGGCACATCACTTATTTAACATTTAAGCTAAATATACACTATTTCGTTAAATATTATAATTTTATTCATAGACACTGTAGCGAGTACAGTAGATACAGCAAAGAATGTAGCAGCATCAGCTGTAGATAAAGGTGTAACTGCTGCTGGGAGCGCTAAAGGTACATACGTTACAAAAAAAAATGAATTCGCACCCATAAGTATCATTATGGAAAATAGAATAATTAGATTTTTTTATTAGATACCGTAGCAAGTACTGTACAAAGCACTGTAGATACAACGAAAAATGTAGCGGCATCCGCTGTCGATAAAGGCGCGTCACTGGTAGAAGCTGCCAAAGGTACAATTCATTAAAATAGTCACATTTCAAGCAATATTTATTAGGCGTCTTCATTTTATTTTTAATTTCGTTTTGTAGGCACTGTCGCAAGTACAATAGATACAACTAAAAATGTTGCGTCCTCAGCCGTAGATAAGGGATTTTTATTAGTTGGCTCAGCTAAAGGTATTATGATAAACGTTGGTTATATTTCTTTTTAAACTCCATTATCTAAATTATTTGTCGCTTGTAGAAACGGTTGCCAGCTCTATAGAAACCACTAAAAGCGTAGCAGCATCTGCTGTTGATAAAGGCACATCTCTATTAGGAGCTACTAAAGGTATATTATGCTGGTCTAAAATATATTTTGTTTTATACATTTTTAGTATATATATCTACATTTTTTTATGAAATGTGCTTTAAAAGTTTTTATCATAGGTATATAATTTTTTTTCAATCGTAAATCTAGTTGCATATTTATTTTGTTTAAATTAAACATCATTTCTATTTATTTTCTTAATTGATTATTTTCTCATTTACTTTTCTCATTGTAGATACTGTATCTAGTACAGTACAAAGCACTATAGACTCTGGCAAGAGTGTAGCTGGCTCGGTATGCGATAAGAGTGTTTCACTTGTATCTGGTGCTAAAGGTACTTGTGTATTTGTTTTATTAGAAATGCGATTAAAAACAAAACAATATAATCGTTTTATTTGTTTTTCGTCAATAACTTGCTGCTAAAGAGATAACTTTAATTCTTGTTCTGTTATTTAACCTATAATTTGAACAATCCCTTATACTCGTATATCGTATTCTTATGTATAGAGCTTAATAAATATATATGTATATATTTAAATATTGATGCATGCGGTGATTAACATTTATTTATTTATTCTTCTTTCGTTTTCTATGTTATCTATATATTAGATGTAACATCTTCGGTGGAGGATGCTGCTGCTGCGCACACTAAATCCTTCTTTGATAGTTCTAAAGGTAAAACTGCTTTATCTATCGCTTCTAAGGCTTTTTCTTTACTTAATAATTGTATTAGATATAAGATAATTGTACTTCAAAGGTAAGTTATAATAAATATATTTTGGTGAGGAAGAGCTTTGATATTTTAAAGGTAGGTAATTTCCAAAAATCTTATAAAATTTTAAAAAAACTTAGATAAACTTACCTTCTGAATATCATAGCTGGTGATATATGTTGGCGATTAATTAAAAAGTTGTATGAATTTGAATAATAATATTGATTTTTATTTCTTTAACTATTTATTTACCTGTTACTATCAACGCTCTATCTATATTACCTATTTATTAGATAGATTGATAATTTTAGTACTATTTGACATTTACATATGTTTTTAAGTTAAAAGTTTAACAATTTTTAGAAATGTTTACAACCAAGTTTGATGGAGCTAAATCTGCAATGGTTGATGTTGAGAAAACGATTGAAAAATCAGAGGGTATTAGCGTGGTTTTGAGTGAATAATGAAAATGCTTTTATTAAAACCGATTTCACTTAATGCCTATAATAGTAATAATTAAATATAATACCTAATAGTTTCATACAAAGCAAAACTGCTTAAAAATGTTAAAAAATATAAAATATATCAACTAATTTTAAAAAATTAACAATTAACATTTTAACAATAAACATATCAAGTTGTGTTGTTTTCAATACTAAGTCGTAGTAATAACACTACGCTTGCAATAAACTAAATCAATCGACAGCTACAGTTATGTCAAAGTAGAACATCAAGAAAATCGTCACATTTCGAATAAATAAAACTAGAAACAAAATTACAATAATAACACCATTAACCCAATTTAAGTAGGTACTAGATAGACATATCCGTTTTTCAAGTCAAATTTTATTTTTAACATTAACATTCAAATTAGGTATGAATAGATAATAAGTGATTTGAGTTTAGTTTTACTTCTATCTATACTTACTCGTAACTTTCTCTCTACTCTAACCGTACCAAATATAATATGCATAGGTATTTTAGATAAATAAATCTCTCTCACACAAAACACACTGAGTATTTGTTATTTTTACTTATTTTTTTATTTATTGAACAGATACGATCAACGCTACCGTAGATTCGACAAAGAAGACCGCAGTGGAGGCAAAGGATCAAGCTCTGAAGGCCGCTGAAGACGCTAAGGAAAAAGCAAGATCAGCCGCTGAAGCTGCCAAGGAAGAAGCTAAGAGGGTTGCCAGTAAGTATCTAGCAACATTTAGTAAAATAACAGTAAAACTTTATGTATATAAAACATTCATTTAGGACATAGTCTCGAAGTAGAAAGTAGATAACAGAAACAGTGGCGATTGCTGCTACATTATGACAATTGGTAATCGTTTATCACAGAGTAGATAATAATAGGCCTATGATAAAATATTAACTTTAAAAGTTATATCTATCTTTATTTAAAATTAGAAAATAAACAATAGGTATATAAAACATTAATCTAAATATATTCATAAAAAAAAAACAAATAAATTAAGATAAAATACTGTAAGTGTCGTAGAAGACGATCTTCTGCTGGTTATCACACTTTGGGTCTTTTGCGTGACGGCGGGTAGACAACAGCATTTCCAAAGAGGGTTGATGTCAGACAAGTGGCCGGTCGTTAAACTTTTGCCAAAACCAATGAGCAGTACAGAAGATGTAATGCGCTGACCCCAAGTAATTTAGGAAACAGGCAGAAGGATGATGATGATAAAACATTCATTTAAAGAATGGTGTCGAAGTAGAGAGATGGGAAAATGCAAATTTTTGGTAATAACGTAAATCATACTGATATAAGAAGTTAAAGTTTGTAAGTTTGTTTGTTGAAAGTAATCTCTGGAATTATTGAACCGATTTAGATGAAATTTGGTAAGAAGATAGTTTCAGACCCTGGAAAGTAAATAGGACTTTTATCCCGGAAATCATCATCATATTCAGCCCTCTTTATCGTCCCACTGCTGGGCACGGGTCTCCCTTCACTACGAGGGGGATCAGGCCATAGTCCACCACGCTAGCCAAGTGCAAGTTGGCGGAATTCACATGTGTTTCGAAAACTTGCTAGGTTCTCTCAGACAATCAGGTTTCCCCACGATGTTTTCCTTCACCGTAGGGTAAGTGATAATCATGTTAGAAATGATTCGCATTCGGGTTTTGAATTCACTTCACTCGGTTTCCCAAGCGAGCGCGTTACCACTGGGCTGCCACTGCCTTTGAAATCATCCTTAAGGGGGTAAAAATGGGGAAGAAAGTTTGTATGGGGAATCAACCTAGAGGTGAACTTGAATCGCTAGTCATATACATAATTCACCAACATCTTAGTACATATATATGTAACGCACTATTGATTTGGTTCGTTGCCAAATTATTAATACAGTACATGAATACTATGATATTATTATGAATAATGCTTGGGAGTATAAGTGTTTGAGTTCAAACCTAGGATCTCACACCGCTGATATTCATGTGCGACCCATTTTAATGAATACCACTTGCCTTGCGGTGAAGGTAAACATGTGGTGACAGCCCATTATAGAAAAGATTCCATGTTTTTCTCATATGTATTCAGTCCTTTTTAACGTCCAACTGCTGGGCACGGGCCTCCCTTCAATGCGAGAGAAATCAGGCCGTAGGCCATCACACTGGCGAATTACGGGTCGGCGGACTTCACATGTCTTTCGAAAACTTGCTAGGTTCTCTCAGACATGCAGGTTTCCTTACAATGTTTTTCTTCACCGTAAGACAAATGGTAATCATGTCGGAAATGATTCGGAAGCTTCACTCTGATTCCCAAGCAAGCACGTTTTTCACATACAATTTAGAAATATAGAGACAGGATGATTTATTTTTAGGGGTGACACCATCGATTACCACCCAAGATGTCACCCATGCTAGCTGCGCCATTGCAATTTTCTTTACGTTACATTTAATACAAGCTGCGAGATGACTCAGTGTTCCGATAACATTGACCATAATATCAATATGACACTATTTAACGTAAGCAATCTTTAAATATTATTGGAATTCAATATGTAAATTGGTATGAATAAAGGAATAATTAAATAAGGAGGTACCATTTAGAGTTATACAAATAGAAATATTTAAATAACATAGTTGTAGAATCTTAAATTTTATGTTGTTTTAACTTCATTGCAAAAGTTTTATCTTATAAAATTTTATAACACTTAATTATTTGTATTGTATGGGCTCAAAGGAGTCCTTTGAAAGGCTTGCGTCTGGATACAGTTCTTATACGTAGAGACCTCTTAAGAAATTAAAGTTTGTTTAATGTGACGCATCAGCAGGGATCTATATCTGAGTAATCAATAAGGAATTACCCAAAGATGATCACCGGATAATGCGTAGGAATAGTAGCTAGAAGAAAATACGGTTACGGAATGGGTTAAGAAACTGGGGTATTTGAATGAGATTACCCGACGCCTTTTCATTTTTCAACAGTCTCAAATTGAATATTTGGCAGACAGTGACTCGCCACCCACTAGATGGTCCTCCGCAAAGCGGAGTATTGGGCGCAACATTCACACATCACACATCGTCGTGATTGACTAATGGAGCACTTCTACCCCTTCGAGCACTCGGCTCTTGCACTCCACTCTGGTCAACCAATGAAGACAAGATAAAGTAGAGGGACCGATGGTATTTCCCCCGGGAGACCTCAGGTCCATGGTGTCGCCACTCACCAACAGCTCGCCATAAACTGCCCTGAAAGGCTTATTATACTTTGTTATTTTTGGTTAAAAAATGTGTATGTGTATCTGTTTTTTTACTATAAAATCAAATGTATGACAGTTTTTAAAATCAAACCAAATCTTACTTCTAGACGCCGCCGTAGAAGAGTCTAAGAAGGCAGCAGAGAAGGCAGCAGCAGACGCAAGTAACGCAGTCCACAGCACCGTAGACAACACATTGAAGAGAGTGGAGGGTGCTGCAGACCAGGGCCTGAAGAACGCTGGGCAGGTCGTAGATTCTAAGATCAAGAACGCTGACAAGTTCTTGAGTGAGAAACGTGATGCGGTAAGTTGAGTTTTAGTAAAAGATATTATGAAGTAAAACGATTATTGAATTGATTTTAAATATTCTCATGGTTCTGTCTCATATATGTGAGCAAAACAAATATCATGTGTGTAGGTTGCCGTTATATCATATTTAAAACGAACATGGAAATAAAAAAAATTGCAATATTCATAGACGCGATTAAGACTCAGATCTACTAGTCTTCCTGCTCGCCTTCCTACGCGTCTGTACGTGAATGGCTGCTATAACATTTAAATTTTGATGGATTAGTAAATTTTTTACTTTTTTTATAAGTATTTATATTATATGTTACAAATTTGTTGTTCTAGTTGGTATCAAATATGTCTCACGCGGCTCACGATGGTGCTGAGGGCGCCGCCGGCCTCCTCAGCAAGGGCCTCGCTGCTTTCCCCAAGTAAATACTCGTACACGGGAAACTTACATCGTATTAACTACAGATAAATGTAACTTATTTTTATTGTCTGTTACACACACATCGACGCTTATCATACCGGAGACTTTATATTATTTTTCATTAAAAATAAGTATACTTTGTTAAAGAAACAAATTTGTAAGTTTCCTAACTCAATTCGTTTATATTCATGCACAATTTTTAATTTAAGTTTAAAACTCCTGCTAACGTTTATACCTTCGCATTATGTTGTTAAGACACAAATCGTCTCATTTTTTTTCATTATTTTGTAAATAATGTAAGTTATGTTTAAGGTATTTGTTTGTATTGGATTATATTGCATTTGGTGTGCATTCTGAAACTTGCTTGGTGTATACCGTCCATTTTGCCTAAAACCAGATTTCCTCACAGATGACTTTAAAGAGACATTTCTTTTGTTTTTATGATAGATTTGACTTTTATACACTATTTATTGTTAAATTGGATCCTGATAAATTTTAATAAATTCAAGAATATTATAAAAAATGTCTTTGAATAGAAGTCTTTTACTGCAAGAATCCTACAAATATATGTGATGATATACTATTGCTTTTAGTATACTTTTAAATCACTAGAAACTGCTCCGCAGTCTATTTTGTATAAGACTTTATGCAGATTATATATATATATATATATATATATATATATATATATATATATATATATATATAATAATATATACAGTATATTATCTATAGAACAACATTTTTCGAATTTTGTTAAAAGTTTTAAATGTATAATATTATAAGATAAATGTGTAATATTGTTGCGTAGTACGTCAATTTCTACGCTTTTTTTAAATAGTTTTTAATTGTGCTGCTGTTCGTTATTTACTGACAAATTATTTGTTTCAGAATTATAATTTAAAAATTATTGTAATTTATCATCCTTTATGTTATTAAATAAACGCATTATCATCCTCCTTGTTTTTTTTACAATGCCAGTACATATTACATAGCCAAAAATAGATGAATAATAACTTGGGATAATTCTGACGATTGTAAACAATAAAAATCGAACTTATATACAATGAGACAACGTTCGTTCTTTCGCTTCTTTGCAAGAGATAGTGTAAAAATATAACATTAATAGTTAAACCTATAGATATGTTTTGGTTTGATTCAGTAATAACATCGAGAAGATACACGAAAAATAATATATTTGAATTTTGAATAGATGTATTTTAATTGTAAAAGAAATCAACCTTGTCAATGCCTCTCCTCAAAGCAACAGGGGTCAAGTCATAGTCTACCACGCTGGCCAATGGAGAAATTTCCCTTTTTTATTAATTATGAAAAATTAAGTAAAATATAACAAAAATACGAACGAATTATTAAAAAATATCTCAACAAAACAAAAAGTTATGAACTTTAAAGTTACGCTTGTGAGAATAATTTCGTGACGTCACACGACAACGGTTGAAAATTAATTTCTCAGTCATTTATTGAGAGATTTTAATTTATTTTTTTTCACTGACTCATTAGTTTTGATCTATAATATAATTCCATTGCGTTAAATATGTTATTATGAACATCAGGAAACTTCTCCTTTGCGGATTGGCGGATTTCACTTTTTTTTTAACTATTTAGGTAGTCCCAGACATGCGGTTTCCTCATGATGTATTGTTGGGCATTAGCAAGTGATAATCATTAACCACGTTTAAAATTATTCTTGCTTTCCAATTGAGCGCATTACCTCTGGGCTCCACTAACTTATTTATATTATTACTAGTGACTCACCCTGGCGTCTCTTGCATTCGTCCCTAGGTACGTTTTAACGATTAGTATGGAATAGATAGACGGTGAACCTGGCGTTATTACGTACAAATAAATCAAGATTTTAACGATTAAATTATGTATTTAACTACAATAATGATTGATAATAACTCAGAATATAGAATATTGTAACGAACTTTGTGTAAAATCGATAAGTGTGTGTATAAATGTCGTAAAATTACATAAAAAGTAGAAAATTGAAAAACTTTTTTATACAAAACTATTTGTTTCCGCGGTCTTAAACTTTATATATAAGCTTCTAATAGAGAGATCTATTAGTGAAAAAAATATGAAGTTTCAACTCGATGTCATAGATTGTACAGTTAAGCCCAATCGCGTAACATACATGGGGGATTAGTTCTATCTCCATAATCCCCAGGCCGAAGTCGTTCTTAATAAAAATGCCTTTTTTCATTGATTGTTTGTTGTATTTTATATTTATTGATAAGCTTAATCATAACGAATAGCTTATTAATAAAATACATTTATGATATTGAATAGATTACTCTCGATAAAATTAAGATTTTTTAAAGTACCGTGTATGGGAGGGTTTACTTATATTAGACAATATATAATAAATAATATCCTGTATTAAATGCTTTGATAATCTGTATTCTCTGATGAACAGTTTTTCTGTCACTGGATTTTGACAATGACAGCTGAGTCAGACTAACATCAATAAAAAAATTAATAGGTACAAAAAGATGTCGTTTCTAGCTCGAATAGGTCATTCTATAGTTAAAAATTCTATATTTTCATGTCCTATACGGTCTATATCTGTAACTAAACAATTAAATTTGAAAGAATGTAAGTAAAACATAGCATAATTGCAGTTCATTTAACTATAACCTAAAAGACTTCCTAAATCTAAAAATTTTTTTTTAGTACGTGAACACAAAGAAGGGACTTCTTTAGTTATCGAAGGAGTTACAGTTCCTTCACCACGCACGCAATTATTAGTACGAGCCGAAAATATTAAAGAGTTGGCCCATAATGTAGAAAACTGTAATACCTGTTATATGTGCGCTTTAAATTTAGATGTAAAACATACAGATGTCTTAATTTTAAGTCAATTTGTACGATCCGATGGCTGCATGCTACCCCGGCGTATAACAAAGCTATGCCTCCGACAACAGAAGAAAATAGGAAAAATGGTCACAATGGCACAAAAAGCAGGTTAGATTCTATTATTTTATTATCTTCTTCCAATTTATTACTAATATTGAAGTATTGAACTTAACTTTATGTTTAGCCTTTGTATAATTATTATTATTCTTTTAAGGTTTAATGATAAATTTGACTCCATCATACTGTAAAAAGGATCCGAAGAAGAGGTTTGGTCCTAAGAAATTTAATACATATTTCGATGAGAAGACAATATTTATGAAATATATACCCAAACCTACTGATAAATTTAAGAGATAAACAGTTAACAAATGAAGTAGTAATATAAACTTAATATTGTAAATGGTTATAGTAAATAATAAAAAATGAGTTTTTGTTTTAATAAACCCTTATTGACACACAAATACTTAAAAATGTTGATAAATATGGTGTCCCTGAAATTAATAAGGATAGAAGAGTGTATATTGAAGGAGGATAGTAATTAAAAAAATAATTAAAAATTAAAAAGACATGAATAAAACAAAAACTTTAGGATATACAATTTTATGTAATTTATTGAGTAAAAAATCACAATGCTGTTATTAACATGTTTTAAATATGGTTGAAAATAGAAATGCTTGTTATAATTATTTGTACTTGAAGAAATAAACTTCACTCAGAGTTTTTTTTAAAGAAATAAACAAAAAAATCTTTTCAAAAAAGAAACCTATATAGATAAACTTAAAATGCAAAACTATCTAAATAAAAATTTTGATCCAAACCATTGAGATTAATCAAGACCTGTTTTTGAGATACACAAAACAAATTTATATATATACAAGAATGGCTCATTTAATATTATAAGATGTAAATATTCCCCACAATCTTTTCAAAATAAAACACAAACATATAATTTGATAGTTTATTTTCGTTGTCTATTCATTAAATTCACTAGGATAATTCCATATTTTGACATCAATTTCAAACATTTTTTCAGTATCCATAATACAATCTCACAAGATTAGCTCTAACAATATACTATGATATATTTTTAGCAACACTGAATTTAGTCAACACTTAAGTTTAATTTTATTGTAAATTTAAATATAAAGTGTCCATCAAAAATGTAGGCTTAATGGATGGCCAACTGGGAGCCCATATTTTATTCACAGTAGGGACCCGTTTTAAATATCAATGAACTGTTTTGTTGTCCAAGAGAAAAATTAAAATGAAATTGTATAGAAAAGAAAGTTTTGAATCAATATAGAAAAGAAAAAAAAACTTTGGTTGTAATTAAAAAAATATTTCTAAAAACTTTTCTTGCCAATTAACTAAGCCCCGCCTGTATCACTCCTGATCATCACTCATGTTCTATAATTTTAGTTAACTTTAAACATAGACTCGCTAGAAACATGCATTATATCATTTCATTACAGTTGAGCTTATTCCGTTAAGCAAATAGATCATAAAGTCCTACCATCTTGGTAAAAAACTCATGTAAATGCTCTTGAGACATGATATTTTTGAATAATAGCAAAATTAACAAAATATTTGTATATAAAATAAATAGTGTAAGTATTAGTACACCCTAACAAGTTAGCGCAGTCTGAGACATGGACTGCGAGACAGCATTTTTGGTGCTAAATGATCACATGTTGTACATCACAGCCTTTCATACAGGTATAAGTAACCGAGATCTTTGGGAGGATTTTCTGAGAGAGCCACCTGAAAAATCATTGATTATTAAATAATTGTTTTACAATTTATTTGTTAGGTATGTTTTAATTTTTTTTTTGAGTTGAACCCAGAACCCTTATTCTTTTTCTAAAATAAAAGTAGCTAAAGTTACTCCTTATAACATCAGCTATCTGCCAGTGAAAGTCCCGTCAAAACCAGTTCAGCCGTTTCGGCGATTAGCCGGAAAAAAGAGACGGATAGACAAAAATAAAAAAATATATATTTTTCTTATAAGTACTGAACATAATTTCATAATATGCATTTAGTAAAAAGGTATTATTTTGACATTACAAACAAACACTTCAAAATTATTCATCTCTATAGATATTTTCCTTTTATGATCTCTGTGCTTTTTCTAAACCAGATATTTATTAGACATAATTACTATGTATTTTAAAGTAATTTTAGAAACTGAATTACCTTATTGTCATTGAATATGACCCATTGACCTTCATGCAGGATGTGGCACACGTAGTGGCCCACCATTGTAGATGTTCCCATGTGTGATATGAATGCGACCAGTTTGTATTCTGAAATTCAAATTTAAAATATTTATTCAGTATTGTAACGCGGGGTTTTTAGAAACAACGGTGATCGCAGCGTATCGTGTCGGAACATGCACAATCCTGTAGAGCCGTGTTTTGGTGCGGCCGTATAGTTTGGGTGCCCGCGCCCCCCCGTCACCCGTGAACGTTTGAGCGACGGTGTGGCTCGAGCCGACAGAGAGCCGCGAGCGCCGAACGCGTAAACACTAGAATAATAACGATCCTCCACGACTCATTTCGCGCACTTATAAAATATTGTGTAATCTTTTGTGTAACTGTTCCATAACAAAATAAGTTTTCTTGTGTAAAGCTAAAGTTGAAATAAATATATTTTAATAGACTGTGTGTACCTATTAAATTGGCATCCCACAGTAGCTACCTATTAAAGTATTAAATTATTAAAAAAAATTACTGAATGTCATGAATCTACTACCAGTTCGGAAAGAAGAAGCCTCAGACCTGAGAAGAACTGGGGAAAGAAACTCAGCGGGGCTAATATTAACTTTACTTTACATATACTAGCTTTTATCTTTTAAATAATACATTTTAAAACTTTTAACTAAAGCCTTAGTCTCTCCCGTGACCACGATTGCTTTAAAGCATTTGAAACATCGGGAACTAAAAATCAAAATAAATCCGCAAAAAAATCCGAAAGGATAGCTTTATTTAATATTCGCGTAAATCTAACAAAGTATTAGATTTTAAAAGTATTGTTTACAATAAACATTATTTGATTCTTTACAGAGTCAACCCATACATTTAAAAAAAAACAAAAGGAAAGCATCACTCACTCTCCGGCCCATCCCTGCATCCGAGCGTCCTGTCCTGCACAGGTGCAGCCGTGGTGTCCTCTCCGTCCAGCTGGTCAGCATGACTGAAGATCCAGTCCAGCGCACGGGCCACGTCCCCGTCGGTGGCGCGCAGGGCTCTGGCCGCCTGCGCGCTGGTGAAGCCCATGCTCGTTATCTGCTCGACGCTCGCCTCATCCACCGCCGCGGCTGCGTGCGCGCCTGGTACAAGTTGAATCGAAATCAAAATGGCGGATGTGTTTATACTTCGTTCTTTAAATAATTGAACATGTAATCTACAAGTACCTGGGCTACCGAGCTTAGCTCGGAGTTTTTGGCCTGATGTTCAGTTTTCTTTTTTTTTTTAAACTAAAAACTTGAATGAAAATTAAAAAAAAGCAAAAGTAAAAACTTTGTATGCGACCGAGATTCGAATCTGGACACCTGTGATTGTTGATCTTGCACCTTGGCTGTTTGACCACGATGCTTATGCCCGAGCGTGCAAATTATCGACCATATTTTGCGTGGTATAATGCAAAAGAAAACTGCATGAAAACTCGAAAACACGCGTTTTATCAGACATAAAATTCAAAACGTTTTATTTTATATTTTTTACTATCTTACAATTAGAATCTATACTACAATTGGTTCTTTTTATAAGAATATAGGCTACATTTGGGTGTAAAAAAAATAAAAAAAATGGTCGAAGTGATCAAAAAATTGTTTTGAAATTTTCACTTCCGGTTTTATACATTTTTTTTTTTTTTTCAAAAAATTATTTCTTTATAAAAAAGAGCAACTAAAAACCTATACAAAACGCCAAGTTTAATAGTTGTTTGTATTTTTTCCCCATTCGAAAAAGTAAATCTAAAACATCGACTTTTGGATTATGATTATTTTTCAAAGGCCCATAACTTTAAAAATAAACATCGTAGAAAAAAAATATTATGTATCCACTTTCAGACCTACTAGAGGTATAAATAACCCGCATATGAACAAATTTCCTAACCTCACTTTTTTTTCCTGTCCGCTTCATAAGAAATGCCCCATATGACTAATCTAGATCGATTTATCGCCCCCGAAACCACCAACCATATTACATGAAAATCGTTCTAGCCGTTTCCGAGATATAGATTACAATAAAAAAAATAGTATTATTATTCGCCAAATTGCAATAAAGAAACACAGACATGACTTGTACAGTAATATTATTATCTATACTAATATTATAAAGAGGTAAAGTTTGTGAGTTTGTGACATTGTAGGGGGTAATCTCTGGATCTACTGAACCGATTTAGATGAAATTTGGTAAGAAGATAGTTTGAGACCCTGGGAAGGACATTTTTATTTAGGCAAGGATATTTTTTAATCTGGAAATCATTCCGAGCGAAACGAGGGTGAGTCGCTAGTATTAAATAATCGTAAGATTTTATGTTATTATTATGATATATAATATTGAATATACATATGTATATTCAATATTGTTTCTTAATTCTAGTACCTGCATTCTGCGAGCCAGGGGGTTCAAATTTATTCTCAAAGTCCCAGTCAGTCATGTGCTCCATGAGCCAGTTGGAGGCCGCCTCCATGCCAGAGTTGTTCGTGTAGTATAGGGATTTTTTACACGCTTCTATTGGGAAGCCCATGTCCAGCTGAAATAGTGTGTTATCTCTCACTAAGGAATAATATAGACAGAGTGTGTCATAGAACTGAACATGAAGCCAAACAATAATGTTATAAATTTTAAAATTAGTTTACTGAATGATAAGTAATTAAATTTTAATAAATAAAAATAGGTTACGGATGTTATTATATTAAGAAAAAAAGGATAATATTATGCTATCTCCCTTTCAAGTGGAAGAGAAGTAATACCCAAAAATTACAAAAGAATGTGGTGTTCTTTTTAAATTTTTTTCATAATATATTCTTCTCAAAAATTGTAAATTAACAAGTAATACATCTATACATATAATAATAAGCCGAATCTGTACATTAAATATTTTCTGGAAAATCTTATTGAAATAAACATAATTATCGATACAGTGGTCAAATTTATAGTTTTTAAAAATTTAGTCTGTCTGTCTGTTACCACATCACAGAAAAAACACTGGAGGGATTTTGATGAAACTTGGTATGGTGATAGTTGGTTATCTGGGTCAACATATACGATACTTTTTACCGTGGGAACATATCTCATTTCTGAAAAAAATATATAAAAACTGCATTGTAAGAGTAAACTAATATGTAAAACTTAAGAATTTGGTTTTTGGTCATTCGAACGCGGGCGGAGCCGCAGGCAATGCTAGTATGTATATAAACATAATCCTGCTACTATTTTTGACTTTGACATTTGTTTTGGTGGACTCAGTCTATAAAATTCTTTAGTCTGAGTGTATAATCTGGTAATTTTCTTATTTACGTAAACACAAACTTACAAGTTTAGTCATCCATTCCTCGTTATATACAGGTGCAGGGGCGTCTGGAGCGGCATCAGGCAGAAGAGTTTCATCGGGCTGGACTCCCCTTCCTCGGAGACAGCTTAGATCCACCTGGAAGATAAAACAATTTTTGTATCAACAAATTGTTATTTAATCATATAAATACCTAATAAATATGTTGGGACATTAACTCATAGCACCATCTAGTTCCATGGCAAGCTGCGAGGCCTGTGTTATAACCAGATAGTTGATATGCTACACATTTATAACTTTAAATACACACATCTTATAAATATATATGCATATATATTGTACTAGCAGAACCCGCGGCTTTACTCGCGCTGAAACTGCAAAAAAACTCTTAAAATGGTAGGTTTCATACAAACTTTTATCCGCTTTTTTACTCCCTTATGAGATGAATTTCGAAAAATGCTAAACACATATTTAATTAAAAGTATTGAAGAGCATTAATACAAAGTCAAGTTCTGATCACAAATATTTTTTTGGATTGTATTATAACGTGTTTTCCCGTGGAAAACAGATGATCTCCCGCGGTAAAAAGTACCTGTGTCACTCTCCAGCCCTCCAACTATCCCCACACAAAAAATCACGCCAATCCGCCAAACCGTTTCGACGTCAAAGAAAGATAAACAAACAAACACACTTTCACATTTATAATATTAGTATGAATATCATACATTCTTTTTTATTTAAGAGAGGTGCGTGCATATTTGATATTTAGATTATTACTACTCAATGTCATGTATATACACACACACACATGCACACACGCACATGCACACACACACACACACATGCACACACACACCAACGCAAACTTATATATGTAATTAATTGTAAATTTTTATTTTGTTTTCACTCTGTTTGTTGACTTTCTAGTCTTGGTGGATGAGCGGGGCACCCAGTAATACGGGTCTCCACCTAGTACAGGGGCCCTTGCGACTAGCTTGGAATGTAATCTTTAAGTTAATAAAAGTATTTTTATTTTTATTTATATACATACCTCCCATGGCATGTCAACAGCTACATCGAGCTTGGCCGGTGTCCAATCCTCTTTGATAGTGAACTTTTTCAGTTGAATTAGCAAATAATCCGGGAACGTGGCGAGGCGAGTTATTCTATACAAAAATAAAATGAAGTAATAAAACAATATTTTTGATGTCCTCCATTGATCCTATCATATTATATAGTCTATTTATAAATGAATAATCCCTTAACAACCGCGGACACGCCGGCATTAGTAAACAATAGATTTCTTAGATATTTAATTATTTATTAAAAATTTACCTGGAGGTGTTAAGATTATTGCAGTATATGCATAATACAATGTTTATTTTATAGATTCAAAAATAAAATATGGTTCTGTCTTTGGTCTAAAGATATCAACATATGCATATGTAATTGTTATATTTGAATGAAATTGTTGAAAATTTGTGGAAAAGATATATGAATAGAATTTACCTATCTATATAAAATACTATTTCCAAAATTTATACTAAAGCTCGTCAATAGCGGCTTAATAAAAATTAAAAGAAAATCTTTTGACAAACAGAGGAGAAAAAGGCATTGAGCTGTTTTATCATTGCCTATTTATATATAGAGATTAGCGAAATGAATCGTTGTCGCTTTAACCGCATTGTGCACATTAATTATCTGTATGGTATAATCTGTATGATGATACAATTATGCTCTTGGTAGAGACTGTCCCGTGACCATGATTGCTGTATTAGCATTTTAGCCGCGAGAAACCAAAAATCACAATAAATTGGAAAAAAATCCTTAAACAAATTATAAATCTAATTTATGAGTAATACTTACTTTCGTGCAGTCACTTTCTTATTGACAGCAGAACTGTAGAACTGCTCCACAGTCTCCTCCTTCATGAAACTGTCGAGACACGCTTGGAACGGGATGTGCGGTCGCACCACCAGAGATGGATCCCTGTCAAATCAAACATTATTATACATTTTTAGATCTTAAACTAATATTCTTTTATAAAAAATAAATAAAAATAATTCGAAAGAAAAAAAAAAACACTAAATACTAATAATATATGTATATTATTAAAATTGATTTACATTCACAGTGTGGGATAGTGAAGGTACTCTTAAATGGGATTTAATAGTTTAACAATATTTTCTTTTATTCAAATAAAGAATTTTATAACAAATAAGTCACTCTCACATACGCAACCTTCATATATATAATAAAACAGTAACATAGCGAAATCGATGTGTGCGTGTCACGTAAAAAGTACTGAACCGATTTTGACTAATTTTTTTTTAAGTGATAACTTATTATTCGGGTCAACATTTAGGATACGTTTTACTATGGGAAAATCTTTCATGCTCACGGGAAAACGCAATAAATTGTTCTATCGAGTCGTCCTTAGAAATTTACATTTCTAACACTGGCTAAACCTTAAAAGATACATCAAAACAATGTCTTAGAAAATTGTAGGTCTTAATAAGGCCTACAGAAAAATCTGCAATAGCATAAGTCATTCTCCTAATACACTCGCAATACTATTATTTTTACTTAAATTACCATTCTATTCATTTTTAATTAAAATCTACTTAGGGACGCATCTCAAAGGCATTATATAGTTGTTACAGACAGTCTACGCACAAATTAAGGAAATGAATTCAAAAAATTGAAAAATGGCGCCAAAGTACCTACTTTACAATATTTGTAAATTTTAAACATTTTTATAATTTTGATTTTGAGACATCTTAAACCTAAGTCTCTCCCGTGACCATGAATCATGATTGCATTTGATTGAAACCAAAAATCAAAAGACCAAGAAAAGACAGTTTCATGTAAATTTCAAATATTTGCGTGAATCTAAGAGAGTATCATGTATCTTATTTTTTGGGAATAAATGTTGCATTAATAATGAACACAAGTGACTAACAGCCGCTGTCCGGCGGCCTCGGCGGCGGCGCGCCGGCGCTCGTAGTCGCGCACGGCGGGCGCGTTGGCGGCGGCGTGCAGCGGCACGGGCAGCGGCAGGTGGTGCTCGGCGCGCGCCGTGTAGCGCACGCCGCGCGACGCGCCGCACTGCATGCGCTCCTCCACCGCGAACCGCACGCACTCGCACGGGTTGGCCTTGTGCCGGCTGTGGCGCTGCGGACACAATTGTTTTATGTCAAATAATAATAATCTATACAGATAAATAAAATTGAAGTGTTCGTTTGTAATGTTAAAATAACAGCGTTTTACTAAATGCATATGAAATTATATACAGTACTTATAAGAAAAACACAATTTTTTAAATGTTTCTGTCTGTCGTTTGTTCCGGATAATCTCTGAAACGGCTTCAAAATCAGTCCGATTTTGAAGGGACTTTCACTGGAAAATAGCTGATGTTATAGACAGTAACATAGGCTACTTTTATTTTAGAAAAAGAATTAGGGTTCCGCCCAAAAAAATTAAAACGTACCCAGGGACGAACCCGAGCGAAGCGAGGGTGAGTCGCTAGTATTATAAATATAAACATAACCCATGATTGGAGTACAAACATTCGTGCACATCATTTAAACGAACACCCCCAGCGGGACTCGAACCAGCGACCGCTGGCGCAACAAATAGGGTCACTACAAAGCTACAAATGTGTCGTCAAATTAACAATATACTAAAAATAGAAAAAACCTCAATAAGATTAAGCAGATGCAGATAGAACTCGTGCGCGTCCTGCTGCCGCTTGGTGGAGAACTCCGCGTGTCCGCGCGCCGCCACGCGCCGGAACATGTGCGGCGACACGCCCGCCTGCGCGCCCTCGCACGGTGGGAACGAGTAGCGTCCCGATACCAGACCCACGCCTAATTTAGCCCTGGAATCACATTCATTTATTTAAAAATGCAAAAAGAATTTTAAGGGATATCTAATGCAATAAGAATTTTTCGAATCGGATGTTTAGTTCCCGGGATTAGCGCGTTAAAACAAACAAGCAAACAAACCCTATCTCTTTATATTATTAGTCCCTCCATGACCGCGGACACGCCGGCGTTACAGTTAACAATGGATTTCTTAGAAATTTAATTAATTTCTTAGAAATTTACCTGGAGGTGATAGTATAAATGCGAAAATTTAGATGGATGGATGTTTGTTACTCAATCACGCCAGAACGACTGAACGGGTCTGGATGAAATTAAGCAGAGAGGTAGATTATAATGTCACACATGGGTTACTTTTCATCCCGGAAAAATGTACGGTTCCCGTGGGATACCTATACTATACTTAACATTAAAAACGTTCCTAGGAACGAACCCGAGCGAAGTAAGGGCGAATCGTAATAACATAAAAATGTATAGCAATGTTGAGTATAATTTTATTCCCGGTGCTCTAATAAAGTTTCATCAAAATATGTTCAGTAGTTTTTGCGTGAAAGAGTATAAAACATACACATGCGAGGTTTAAAAAAGACATTTAATAAAATAGAAGTAAAAGTACACCAACTTCAAAAACACATAGAAATAATCTCATTCTTAGATGTGATTTTTATTAAATTTGTATGGTTAAGTTATAATATATTTAACAAAGCGCGCTGTCATCGTGTTTATTTACTAATAATTATCACTTAGTTTCAATCCATAAAATTTGATTAGTTTAATTATGAATGTATTTAAATTATAATATATATACGTATTTTGGAGCGGGTAACACCGAGTGGGATTTGTTAAAACACAAATAATTCCTCAGACTACTAATAACTTATTATTAACTTACATCTGTACATCAAAGTCGTTGGCAGGATCTTCTGGAAACGTAGAGAATATTTCAGGCGCCCCTTCTACGTACCGCCGGATGAAGTCGGGCATTCTAAATAGCACCTACAAAAATAAAATAAGAAATAAAAATTGGACATTTAAAGCAATTGTCAGTTGGAGTGTAGACAAATTTCTTACAACATACACTTCTTTTTACCCGACTGAGCAACCTAAAGGAAGGTGATGTGTTTATCATGTTTGTTCCTATGTGGCACTCTAGGCCAAACGCGCGGCCCGATTCTGATGATTTATACGTCGTTAAATTCGTCTTGATAACGTGAATACATAAGCTATATGAAAATAGTTAAAAATGAAAATGGCGGTTTTCAGACGCCAATTTGTGTCTTTAAAAAAAAAAATTTTCCAAACCAATCTACATACAAGATATGTAAGTGTGTTTTTATGTATTCGTGTGTATGGTGCCACTTAATAATTTATAATTTTGTGTATATGTCGTCATATCATCCATGCGTACATTCGTGAAAGTGCGTGTGTCCGTGTGTGAATGTGTGTCTGTGTGTGTGTCGGTACCTGCACGACACTATTGATGTAGCAGGAGTTGCCGAGGTTGTTGAGGCCGGTGAGCGCGGGCCCGTACACCGGCCGCAGACACGTGCCCGACTCCTGCAGCGCGCTCCACTCGCCGCTGCGACGGTTCAGCTCCAGCTCCAGCTCCACCATCGACTTGTCCGTCTGTCACACACAAAGTGTCATTACGAGACCGGTTAATGTACACACTGAATACTCTTTGACGACATGTTTGGCTCAGTTTGTGGTGACTCTACTCGAGGGTTCGAGTCCCGCTGGAGGCATTCATTTATGTGATGAACAAAAATGTTTGTCCAGTCATAGATAGGTGTTTATATTTAAAATTATATATGTGTAGAATATCAACTATCTTGTATCCATAACTCAAGCCTCGTAGTTTACCATGGAACTAGAATAGATGGTACTGTCTGTTAATATCACAACATATTTATTTATCATTTGCCATCCTCGCCGTTGAGTGTTCACCATGTGGTGGGGAAACTCGTTAACTTCCGGCAATCCAGCTGGGCGTGAAGCCAAGCCTCGCATAAAGAGCTGCGAGGTGTACCAAGCGGGTTGCTTCTAGTACTTCTCTGATAGTAGAGTGGGCCATGGGAGAAAAGCCTTGGAGGTTTTTGTCTGCATCGGCAGTTAAAAAAAGCCTAGCTTACGGTATTGTGTATACTTTGTCCATATTTTATATTATTATATATACATATTTAATCCGTCAACAACTACGTGCGTTAGCATAAATACAGAGAAAAATTCCAAACTTACTAAAACATAAAAGACTATACAGTTATATATACATATGTAGTTACATAATTATTATAATCACCAAAATTTAATTAATAAACATATACATACATATATATATGTATAATTTTCACTAACCTTTTCCAGTTGCTGGACATTTATTCCGAAATGCTTCAAATGATCAGCTAAATAAGGATCTTCTACCATATCGTCCTCCGCGTACGAGTACACGTCGCCCTTGCCCTCCGACGTGATAGTTCCCAACTTCACCGCCAGAGGGTACCCAGTTTCACGGTAATGCTCCACCTGGGTATGAAATTAATGTACTATAATATATAATGTACAAATATGTACTCTTAACTGATTTAGGTTATAATACTTTCTTAGATTGACACGAATATTTGAAATTTTAAATAAAACTATCTTTTCGGTTTATTCGCGGATTTATTTTGATTTTTGGTTCAAAACGTTTCGAATGCTTTACAGCATAATTATAATATCTATTAAAAAAAAATTAAATGTTTAGAAATAAAAATCAACAAGTATTGTAAGGTACTTTATTGCCATTTTTTGAATTTTTGTAATAATTTTTGTAAAATAGTGAGTAGGCACTGTCTGTAACAAGTATGTGTTTGAGATGTCTATAACGGTTATAAAATAGTATGTGATACTGGAATAATAAAGGTGGATGGATAATGAAAGACTAAGGTAGTCTCTCCCGTGACCATGATTGCTGTAAAGCATTCGAAACGTCGGGTACCCAAAATCTAAATAAATCCGCGAAATAATCCGAAAAGATATTTATTTAAAATGATTTAGATTTTGGCGGCCTATCTCACTGAGACTAACATTTGTGCCGGACGTGTAAGGTGTGTAATACTGTGTGGGAATGTGTTACGCACACATCATACACTATACCTTTCACTCACTTATTTACTCTCTCGATGTGGAGGTGAAATTTAAAAATGCAAATATAAAAAAAAGGTATAACAGAAAGTATGTATGATACATACAATATAGTATCTTACATCTTGTTAAGGTGTTCATCAACTTACCGGTAGTCAATCGAATAGTAGGTTTAAGGGGAAAATAAAGTTGCATATACTTTGCACTTCCGCCCAGTTTTAAAAAAAGTTAATAATTACTAAAGTGCAAATAAACAAGTTTTCTGAGCAAAATAGAGATATAAAAAAAAAGTAGACAAAGTAACTTACAGCATGATCATTTCCACCAGAGCCGTCAAAGAATCTTCTACCACAGAGTATAGAACCATCGGTGAGATTCAGCCACAGGTTATTTGTTAGATCACACTTGGAACACTTCCAACCAGATGGTGGTATTTTAACACCATTATCCAATTGAGTTAGGTTTACTGAATGGCTATAAAATGAAAATAGAATATTTGATAAGAATGAATTCAATTTTGACATATTCACCAAAAATGCATCATTCAATTCATCCAACATAAAACCATGATTTTTTTTTTGGAGTTGTAGAAAATGGACAGAAGTCCATCTACAAGACACAATGCTTATACTGACAATAGGAAGAACAGAATTATAAGATGTACACAAAAACTAATCTATCCCACGGGAACCATGCATTTTTCTGGGATAAGAATTAAACTATGTGCTATTCCAAACTATAATCTACCTCTGTGCCAAATTTCATTCAGATACATTCAGCCGTTCTGGCGTGATTGAGTAACAAACATCCATCCAAATTTTCATATTTGTAATGTTAATGGGATATGTATATTTTGCGTTGGAATAATATCAAAGTATAATACCTACCGGTAAATACGAAATAATGTATATTTAGAAAATATGAAAAATATCTATATAAATACTAGCAGAACCCGCGGCTTCGCTCGCGTTATAACTACAAAAAAATCTCTAAAAAGGTAGTTTCATACAAACTTTCATACCCTATTTTACCTCCTTATAGAGTGAATTTTGAAAAATGCTAAAACACGTATTTATTTAATTTTATTGAAGAACATTAATATCGAGTTTCAAGTAATTCTGAATATTAATATTTTTTTTGGATTGTATTATAACGTGTTTTCCCCTGGGAATGAGATAATCTTCCACGGTAAAAAGTAGCCTATGTCGCTCTCCAGCTCTCTAACTGTCTCCATACAAAAAATCACGCCAATCTGTCGCTCCGTTTCGACGTGAAAGAAGGAAAAACAAACACACTTTCACATTTATAAATATTAAGTATGGATGTATATGTATATTTAGAAGCTACTTACACAGACACTTCTCGTTTTTCTCCATCCCAAGTACCGGCCAGTACTTCCATTTCAGCTATTTTGAAAGGTGACTCTGCGTCTAGGACGCCTTGGACTGATTTTTTAATCTGTAAAAAAATATAAGAATAAAAATTATACTTTTAAAAACTACGCTTTTGACCAATTAATGTATGAGCCGAAACTCCAAGGTTTTAGGGATTAAAAAGGTCCTCTGCCTCCTTGCTACATTATCACATTATCTCTATGAAAAAAGGATTTTATTGATATCTGGGCTTCGACCATAGAAACCCCATTGGTAACAGGCTCACTTAAATATTGGAGTTATATTCAAGTGAACCGGGTTCGATTCCGTGTTCTAGTTAGCTAATTTAATAACTTATTAATGAGCGAATGTACAAAAAATTGTGAGAAACCCCCCATCACAAGATAAACATACATCGGGGGAGGTAGGGTAACATTTTTTTTTTTATTTTACGTTAGGAAATGCATTTACGCCATACCATCTGCATACAAACAGGTGATTATGTTGGACTCACCAGCTACAAAAGCCAGTACTACCCACTAAAACTCAACGGAACCTTCCCCATCTTATTCAAGGTTTCAAGGCTGGGCCAATAGGTACAGCCCATTGAATAAGATGGGGAAGGTCGCTTCTGCTATCAGAGAAGTACCAGGAGTAATGAGCCCCTACCACCCCCTTCTCCCCTCAAACACTACGACAAGGTAAACACACATCTGGGGTGCAGCTAACGCAGAAGTAAGGGTAACATAAAAGAGGCCAACATTAACACTCACCACTTCAGGCAAAGCATCATTAGGCCAGGGATAAGTGTGAAATCCAGGCAAGATCACTACGTTATAATGATCTGTGTAGGTATATTTTGCCTTGTTACAGTCAGGGTCGAACCCACCCTCAACTCCGATAGCCAGACGGGTGATCTTCTTCTCCGGACCATCACCGGTTTGTTCTGGTTCGGGAATCTAAATAAAAAACATCGTTATTTGTTAGATACCGTTAAATATTGGTCCTGAAATCTATAAAATAAGACATATAGTCCTTTTAATGTTCCAAGCAAATATTATCTGGAATGATATTCGTTAGAACAGTTGGTAAAATATTCAAGATATAGTGTGACTAATTAAAAATATTTTACTAAATAAAAAAAAAAGTTATGAATCGATTACACCAATACCATATGAATGTATATATTAAGCCCTTTTTCAACGTCCCACTGCTAGGTACGGGCCTCCCGTTAATACGAGAGGTTTTTCAGTTTTCGTTTTGGCGAACATCTTTTGAAAACTTGCTAAGTTATCTCATCACTCATGCATACAGATTGCAGGTTTCCTCACGATGTTTTCCTTCACCGTATGACAGTAACAAAGAAGTGGTAATTATGTTGGAAATAATTCACACAAGAAAATATCATAGGACCCGGGATTTGAACCCGCTTCACTCGGTTTGCCAAACAAACGCGTTACCACTAAACTACCACTGTCTTAGCCAATGTGACCTACGTGACGTCTACTTCCACACGATATAATCGCTGTTATAACATTTACTGTCACTATATATGTATGTACATCTTACTACTATATAAATGCGAAAGTTTGGATGTATGGATGTTTGTTGCTCAATCACGCCAGAACGATTGAACGTTTTACTACTTACACTTATACTTTACATTTTTGAAATAGGAGTTAAAATGAATTACTCATATTACAATATGTAATATGTAACATATTTCATACTTACAGGCTTCTTATCTCTGAATATATGTAGAAAGACAGCATTCCCAGTCTTCTGGAAGTACTGCTCGACGTAATTTCGACCGAAGCCGAGGAAAGATGTTAGTGAAACATATAGACCAGTCTCTGATTTCTAAAACAAATTTATTATATAAAAAAATCAAATTAACCAATTGCCTTATTTTATTTTTTAGTATAATCAATAAAAATAAGTGATATAAATATTATCTTATAATTAATTGTTATTGTTACAATTATTAAACTGATTTTTTAAATTATTAAACAATCATTTTCTTCAGTAAATTTATTTTACCTCATAAAGTGCTGTTTTGAAATTGGCGGAAACACTACACAGTGAAAAAGTTATTTAAAAGCTACAATATGCAAAGATTAGAATGTAAAAAGCCCTCATAATTTGCATACTGATAAAAATATTCTTTAGAAGAAACCATGCAGTCATAGGGGTTCATAATTGTGTACACATTTAGTTAGATACAACACGGCAAAATGTTCACATCCATTGATTTATATTTAGGCGTGTTCCTTATTTTGTGTGGTTTTGGGATCAGCTTGATTAATTTAAGAAGTTTAGTGTCCAGCAAAAATAAATTCTCAAATATTCTTTTATCAGAAAATATTCTACGAATATGTGTTGGTATAGCATTCTTGAGCAGGGCGATGTATTCTCTCAAACCTGGTAATGTAGAAATGGATGACATGGAACTGAGAATAGCTGGAATAATGCCTAATATACTCAAGAATGTTAACATTAAATGTGGGTTTGCCTCTCTTCTATTAAGCTACGGACCATTTGTGGTATCTTTGGTTAACAGCTTCCTTGGACTCATTATAGATAACTATATGCATTACAGAATGTTATGGGACTTGAAGAAAAAGAATGAAGAAGATATGGTCCAAGTGATCGGTGAAAGTTCTAGAAGTATTACAGAACTAAAAAGAAATAAATTCAGTAAATTTACAGTATTTTGGAGAAAGTATTCTTCATTCATTACAATTGTGCTGCAATGGATAGTCCCAATATTGATTGCTCTTTTTTTGTATCCAATGAAAGTTAAGGAGATGTCTTTAGGTGAAGCAAGAAGCTTGGAAGACACTTGTATGTCAATGCTAGATGTGACAAATGAACCTTGTTATACAAACAGCACCATTTGGAATAATACAGAAGAATCAGAGTTACAAAAGTACATATCAGCTCCAGTAAATTATTTGAAAATAATAGAAAAAGATCAGGCAAACACAAACCAATCATCTAAAGAAGTAGATTCAATACTTATCAATGTTTTGAGTGTTCTCAAAAATTTTAATAATAGTTCTGATTTTGAATTTACCAATATAGGCAAATCATCAAGAAGACCAAAATTTGATGATAGATGCATGAAAATTTGTTTCACTGATAATAAGAGTCTACTAGTTTATATGTTTGCCCTTGCTTTTATAAGCTATTTTGTTCCAATAACAATATCAACAATAATATTAACAAAAATTCATATAATGCAGGTGAACAGACCTAATGCTAAGACATATGTAACTAGAGAACTTCTATATAACATATTGTTTTGGACACCAGTGATGTTTGATACTTTTTTATCACTAATAATGTGCTCTTTTTCTATGCATGGGGCCAAAACATCATTTTTAAATGTAGTTGCCAATGTATATCAAGCTGTAAAGAATTTTATGAACACAAGGTATTTTAAAGAAAATGCAGTTGTTCCAAAATAAAACACAGTTTTTGTCATAAAATGTAGACTTTAAACTTAGTTTTGTATTGATTCTTATTTCATTTTTGTATTGTGTGTATGTAATCAAAAAGGAAGTATACATTAATTTAAATAAAATGTTATTGCTGTCTTGGCTCTCCTTTTGAAATGTTCTGGATAAATTTATAATATAATATAAAATAATTCCAACACAAACAGCCACAGTATTTTTAAACTTTTATGAAAAATTAAGAGTGAAGTTAAACATAGGTATTTACATTACAAGTATATCACAACTTTAGGATAAAGCCGATGGTTGGTTTAATTAAAACTTGCAATGCAGATCCATATTACAAATAAAACTGCTATTATTTATTAATAAACCTATTTAATTCAAGAGGTTAGAAACAAAATGCAACTCACCGGATTGTCAAAAGAATATACACACTCATCCTTGTAGACTAATTGTTGGGCAGACGGTATTTTAATTTTAGATAAATGTGGCGTTAAAAGATCTAAAGATGCCATGATGGCGGTGTTATTTCACGAAATATAGTAATATTTTATCTTTTTAATAAAATAGTTTCGCGGCGTCGATCTACTATCTAAATTTACAATTAGGGATGTAACTTTGAAAAGATTTGACTAATATCGATATATTATATAACTTATAATCTTCTCGATCCTATAAAAAAAAAAGATAAAATGAATTGAATAAAATAAAATACATAAATGTTACAAGTTTTATAACATACATAGTTGTGCCACGTCAGAGAAACATGTAACTGTTAAAAATAATACTTTTATTAGTCAACATTATTTTTATTTTTTTACCTTTAATTTATGAATTAAGTAATATAGATCTTATAAGACTTCGTGTTCTATTTATATAAACACTATATCATATTTTGGATAATTATATGAAATAAGACTAATCTAAGAGAGATATAAATACGAGTACCTAGTAAAAACAAAATATTATTATGGAATATTATTATTATTATCCTCTTATCTCAACTATATATATATATATATATATATATATATATATATATATATATATATATATATATATATATATATGATATAATCGGTTTAAAAATAAATATCCCGTCTTAACTCAGTTAGGAAAAAAGACATTTATTACCCTATAATTATTAGTTACACAATTGTAATTTTAACTATTTGTATATATTACTTAAAAAAAGAAAATGTGGTTTTAACTAAGACTTTAATATAAATATTATTTGCTAATACTTTGAGTACTATTGTCGAAGAGTGAATGGCAGCTTGTTTCTGCAGTATACCTATATCTATATTGGCTTCTAGTTTTTCGCAATATTTTACTATATTTTTTGCTACAACCCGTTCCTCCTATTACTATTGGTATTTCATAATTGTGGTCTGTGTATTTCATAATCTATAGATTTATTATTATTATTATTATGAATTATTCATTATTGGATAATATATTGTATCTACCATAACAATAGTTAAGCAAACACTTTAGTCTAATTAGGAAGTACTTAAAAATACTGTCGAATAATTCATCTCAAATACGTACATCATTTAGAGAAATCGAAACATCGATTTTATATGTACATCACTGTTAAATTCAATGACTTAAGTTTTAATGTTACCATTTTAGTTTTGTCATATATTGTTGCAGTTTTATTAAACAAATTAAGTTTTTTTTTAATTCTTTTAATGATTACATCCACGTAGTTTAAAATAAATTTTATAGATGCATTATAACAAAATTACTAAAAGCACATCTAACCAAATCGATAGTATTAATAATATTGATAAATATATTGCTACAATGGCTACACTTTGTTGTATGATGTGTCAAATGATAAATTAATGTAGGTATACACGAGTATATTGCTACATAATTCATTATTATTTTATTTTCTTTTTGTATTTAATTTTTTATTTATTTTTCTTTTCAATTTAATTTTCTTTTTGTTTTTATTTTAGAAGTTTTAACTTTGACAAGTAAAGTTTCTTGTTATTAGAAATTATTGAGGTCTCAGTCTCTTCAAATTTAAAATGGTTCTTAAATTGTATTACGATTTAATGTCTCAACCATCCAGAGCCTTATATATTTTACTGAATACGGCAAAGTGTAATTTTGAGTCAAAACTTGTTGATTTGCGCAAAGGTAAGAGTAAAAGGTAGAGACTAGAGAGATCTAAGAGTAATTATAACAATAATTAACCCTTTCGATCCTGGTGTATAGATACATGGAAAAATCCCCCAAATACATAAAAAAACGTATAAAATGTTTTTATTTATGCGTTGTATTAATTCAGGTCCGAAGTAGTTAAGATAAACATAAGTTTATTATATAGTTAATTTTAGATTTATAATTATTTTGTTTTAGGAGAGCATTTTTCAGAAGAATTCACTGCCGTTAATAGGCTTCAAAGAGTACCTGTTATTGATTATAATGGATTTGTATTAAGTGAAAGGTTACAATAGATAACAAAAAAAAATTATTTTTAATAAATGATGTTGACTTTATAATAATATGTAATCACATAATTTCAGTATTGCTATTGTGAAGTACTTGGCCGGAGAGAATTTAATACCTGACCATTTATATCCAAAAGATAATAAATTACAAGCTCGGGTTGATGAATTCTTAGAATGGCATCATATAGGTCTAAGACTTCATTGTTCTATGTATTTTAGGGCTAAGGTATTTTTAATATATACATATATATAGCATTAAATTGCTGTTTTTATAAAATTATAGTTGTTCTTTTATATGTATATTTTATATGTGTGTTAAAGTGGCTTTTTATTACTTTTTAGCATTTGGATCCAATCATAACTGGTAAAATACCAGATGCAAAAACACTAAAGGGGTATGAAAGGAGAATGGTTTCAGCTTTAGATTTATTTGAAAGCAAATGGCTTAACAATGGTACAGAATTTGTTGCTGGCAACACAATCACTGTAGCAGATTTATTTGCAGCCTGTGAATTGGAGCAACCAAGTAAATAATTCACAAAAATATAATATTTAATATAATTTCTCCTAATCCTAGTCCTTAGGTGTCTAGTGTCTATAAGTTGTGTAGGCATTGTCTAATTATTAGCGGAAGGGTGTTACATATTTAAATTTCTTTTAGAGCTTTAGGTTTGTCTCCCCTAACGTGCGTCACCTTGTCGCGGTGAGGTGGCTTGGAAACCGGCCTTGCAGTTAAGCTCCTGGTACTTCTCTGACAGCAGAGTGGACCGTGGGAGCTATAAGTAATCCCATGGTTGTTGTGGGCTGCTTTGGCAGACCTGTCGTCGGGGCGTAGTGGTTGAGTGCATAAGCGATCGTGCAACGCCCCATTAAGATGGAGGAGGTTTTGTTGGGTTTTAGTGGGTTAAGTTGGGTTGAGTTCTAAATCCCCCCCCAACGTGCGTTCACCTTGTCGTGGTGGGGGGGCTCAGTAGTGCCCGGCAACCCAACCGGGCGCGAAGCCAAGAAACGCACAGGGAGGTGGCCCACTTCGGTGGGCGGTGGGAGGTGGCCCTCTTCGGAAGGCGGTGTACCATGCGGGTTGCTGCTGGTACTTCTCTGATAGCAGAGTGGACCTTGGAGCAACCCCGTGGTTGTTGTGGTCTGCTTCGGCAGACCTGCCGTCGGGGCGTCGTAGTTGAATGCGTAAGAGATCCTGTGACGCCCCATTAAGACGGGGGAAGGCTTTGTTGGGTTTTAGTGGGTAGTACTGGCTTTGCCGGTGAGTCCCACACCTCGTGCGTAAATGCATTTCCCAACGTTAAAAAAAAAAGGGTTGAGTTCTAAATAACCACCTGTGTCTACAGGTGGTATGCATAAATTAATTTCCCAACTTAAAAAAAAAGGCTTTAGGTTTGTCAGAGTTAATCAATTTTTTAAATGACTGTAAAGGGCACTTGTTCCTTTTGTAAGGATACCAATACACCTCTCAATTTTACTCTTGTATTTCTTTCGTTGTGTTCTAGTAAAAATTTTGAATGAAAAATGTCAAGAAATATATACATTATATCAAATACAGTAGACCCTCTTGTAGAAAACCCTTTAAAATGGATTGTGAGAAAACCCGCTTTGAGATTGCTTGACTTAAGTTTTTTGTAAATTGTTTTTATTTTCATAAATGCCTGGTTAAATTCTTTTTTAGGAATGGCTGGATATGATCCAGCAGATCATTTTAAAGATATCTCCGTGTGGTGGAAGAAAGTAAGGGATCACTTTAATCCAGTTTATGAAGAAGCACATGTCATACTCAACAAAATTGTTGATAAAGGACAAAAAGCGAAGCTATAAAATGGATTTTTATATCATTTTGTAATATCACATTCAAAATGTTATTATAAAAATTTTGTTTTTATTATTTTTAAGACCATTTAGGGCAACACCAGGTGGAATAACTTTTGATACCTACAATAAATAATTTTTTTTGTACGTGTTTATTTTTTCAATTTTTGATGAACATAATGTGCAATATACATAATGTTTATATATTGTTGAATCTTTTCCTCTTTTGGGAATTATTGTAAAACTACGATAAATCATGCCTATAATCCATATCACGAGCATAGACCACAGGATATTATTGAAGCTTATCAGTTATCCTTCTAAGTGAAAAAGTAAAAAAAAAAAACGGGTGTGTGTGTACTTATGTACGCACGTAAGAAGTTGGTTATACTTTTTTGGCGTAACAGAACAAAAATGGCTAAAGATTTCATCACGTATGTCACAACTCTGTTGTAAAAGGAATGCAGCTAACTTCATCATGTCGCTACATATGTCGCTGTGTCGTACATTAATTACACGGTACACACACACCTTTTTTTTAATTTCTGATTGTTATCATGATAGTTTTTTTTTTCTAAAATTGTGGTAACAAAAAAATAGCTCGATGAAACATCGTATTTTTTCAATAAAGTAAATACCATTCCTTATTTGCTTTGAAGACATTTCCACCAACTCATTATGCTATTTTTATAACTGAAGTCCCACGAAATAAAATGAGTGTAGATAAAAGAATAAAACATCATCGTACAACACGTAAAAGGTATATTACTCCAGATTCTATATTTGTACTAAATATTTTAGCGTGAAAAAAACATACACACACATACACACAAATTTTCGTATTTATAATGAGATTTTTATAATGAAATGAGATTTCTCGATACGGAAATCATTGAAGCTACCCGGGCAAGTAAAATAGACTAAAGCTTCTAAATAATAATAATGGAATACTCCATGTGAAATATAAAAATAAAGTGATTAGTTTTGTTTATACAACAGTAAGTGGGCATCATTTGTTGATATTAGAGCAATTAAGGTGTTTATTTGCGAAATTCCCGGCCTCATTCAGTTGCACCAATTAAATTCGGCTTAAAGCCCACGGCTCTGCTATCAAGTACTAATTTAAAATCATAACATTCTACACGTGTTGAATACTAATAACAGATAATATTATATACCTGTACCTTAGAAACATGTATTTACTGGAAAAATTTTAGCAAATTATAATAGAAACTCGTTTGTATATTTAAATAATTATTATGATTAAAGAAACTAATATCAAATTCAAAAAGCTTTAAATAGCTCGATTGTATTGATTTATTGTATTGTTGTCCAGATTTCACATACGTATATAAAATCGATACGACAATATTATAAGTGTAGGCTAAAATCGACTTTCAAAGTTTTTTAAGATTTGCTATTTTTAATCCCCGACGCAAAAAGAGGGGTGTTATAAGTTTGACGTCGATGTCTGTCTGTCAGTCTGTGTGTGTGTCTGTCTATGGCATCGTAGCTCTCAAACGGTGGACCGATTTCGATGCGGTTTTTTCATCTGAAATCCAGTTTCCTTGCGGTGGTTCTTAGCTATGTTTGGTTAGTATCGGTCCAACAGTGTAAGAGTATCAGCTCTTTTCAAAAATGATGTAATGCATTTTGGCGATTTCTCGATAAAGTGCTTCACGCGTTGCAGTGTAATCGCTTGATGACAATTAATTTGCTTAGGGGTTTTTTTATTTTTAATTTAGAATTATTCATTTTTTAGATATTTATAATTATTAATTATACGTATAATTTATACAATGTACATAAGTATGATTACTAGTTATAAACTAATAAAAACGTGTTACTTTGTAGTCTTACTAATTTTGATTGATAGGTATATATATCCGTATTAATATTAACGTGAAAGTTTGTGAGTATGGATGTTTGTTACTCTTTTACGGCAGAACGGCTGAACGGATCTGGATGAAATTCGGCACAGAGATAGATTATAGTCTGGAATAATATATAGGCTACTTTTCATCCAAGAAAATGTACGGTTTCCGTGGGATAGGTTTGTTCTTGATTTGCTAGAGGCGAACCCGAGCGAAGCGAGGGTGAGCCGTTATTCTATATGTAGATATAATAAAACAGTAACTTAGCGATGTGCGCTTTTCACGCAAAAAGTACTAAACCGATTTTAATAAAATTTTGTGTAGTGATAATTTATTACTCGGGTCAACATTTAGGATATCTTTTACTACATGAAAATTTTTCATTTCTATAGGAAAACACAATAACTGGTTCTATTGACTCGTTCATCTAAGGTACACATGCAATAACTATGTAATATTTATATCTATTAAAAACGTACCTACCTAACGACGCACCCGGATGAACCGAGGTAAGTCACTAGTGTATTAATAAAACAAAGCATTCAATACTGAAAAATAAGTCAGACATAAGTGTAATCGAAAATCTTAATAATTTACAATATCACTCGCAGAGGCAAAGTGAAGCTATAAAAGTCATTTAAAAATGTCGCCTTGCTTTATTTTTAATTAATTTTTACAAACATTGTTTCCTTTGTTCTTCTATGTAACGGACCTCCATAGTTAGCTCGTCTGGGAAGTATTCTTATGAATTTCATAATACCTTCATTGTTTCCTCGTACTTTAATAAATAATAGCCTTTACAATGAATATTTAACTGGAAATTGCAGGTCATAAAGAGCATGAAGACTTCACTGCAATGTTTTTTTATTTATAGAGATATCTTCCTAGAAGCGGGAAATGATTCTTACTAACATTTGTATTTGTGTGACACGATTTCGATTTGCTCTTGCACGGCCCTAGAATTAGTTCGAGGAAAATTATAATATGTGTGTCTAAAGTCTTAAATCTTCGACATACAGGCAAATTAGCGTCTCTTTGCAAAAATGAGCCGCGACGTTATATTTTATATAGAAACTAGCGACTCACGTCCTTCTCGTCGCGTCCCTAAAGATTTGTATGTATGTTTTAATGCCGAATTATAAAAAAATAAAATAAAAAAAACTAAGGATTATTCAAAAATAAGAATATCATACTTGCATCTAAAGTTATATTCAACAATGGTATTTTGAAATACACTTCGTTTTGATTGTAATGACCTTTATTAAGAGATGAAAAAAAAACCTGAGCCCTGAGAAAAACTGCCGAAGAAACATAAGTTTTATACTATACTAGCAGTACCCGCGGCTTCGCTCGCGTCCAAACTATCGACCCGACCCGATCGCTATCAAAATTCACAGGATCACCAGCTGGGCTAATCTGAAGATTACCTGAAAATTTCATCAAAATCGCTCCAGATGTTTTGGAGTCCATAGGAAACATACATACACACATCGATTTTACTTTATTTAATCAACAATTTAAATTTATTTATTGCTCGGAAAATGGAGTCTTTTATGAAAATTTAGTGACACACCGATTGCAGCGCCACCTACCGGATCCATTTGTAAATTCAAACCTTGCAGAGACCCACTCGAACATATACTAAAAATATCGTTAAAATCGTCCTTTCCGTTTAGGAGATGATCAGTGGCACAGCGACTGCAGCGCCACCTACCGGGTTCAATTGTGTTTTCAAACCATCCAGGAGCCCATTGAAATATACACACAAAATTATATCCAAATCGGTGTAGCACTTTAGGAGGAGTAGCAAACACACGTACAGAAGAATTATATACATATATTATGATAGTAAAAGTAATTAGAAGTAGTAAAAGCTACAGTGAAATAGAAGCTTAAAAAATACAAAGGTGTACCCTACATCAAAATTGCTTACCTACCTTACGTGTAAACCGTTACTTTTCGATTATGTTTTTAACATAACTAAACTTTATTATATTTGCTTTAGCATTCAAATTATACCTATATGAAACATTTAAAGATATAAGAGCTTATTTACATGGTTTCTTATTATATACATATCTTATCATGTAAATTGTAGTTATAGTGGTCGAAATTTTAATAAAAATACACACAGTGGGTAGTGATCGATCCATCGGCAGGATACGTGAAAAATAAATCAAACCCAGCCGAACTAGCCGAAGTCAAATACTGTGGAAAATTAAAAATATCGTTTACATTCTGAAGTGATGTTATGTTCGGTAAAATAAGGGAAAATCTATCTAGCCCGTCGGCGAAGTGCATTAGGCAATATCGGGGAATTGGAGAAAAAATAAATTATTCCAGGCCAATACGCTCGACCCTCGTCGAAATATACGCAGATTGATTTTAAATTCGTACACGTTTTACATGTTGTGCAAAGAACTGTTCCGTTAGTTTTGTTTTTTATTTTAATTATTTTCGTTACGTACTTGCAGGTTTATACAAGACGATATCGTTTATACCAATCTATACAGATAAATAAAATTGAAATGTCTGTTTGTAATGTCAAAATAACAGCTTTTTAATAAATGCATAATGCATAGCAACGTATAATCTGTATTTGACTGGCACGTTTTGAAGTCATTTACAAGAGATTGAATTGAATTGAATGAAAGTGTTTACAGTACTATTAAGAAAAAAAAACAATTATTAAAATTTTTGTCTGTCTGTCGGTTTGTTCCGGGTATCTCGGAAACGGCTCGACAGATTTTGACGGGACTTTCACTGGCAGTGTTATAAGTAGCAACAAAGGCTATTTTTATTTTAGAAAAAGAATCAGGGTTCCGCGCAAAAAATTTAAACCCTTGAAATAGTTAACAGAATCCACGTACCTATAGATGCACTCGAGCGAAGCGAGGGTAAGTTGCTAGTAGAAAATAAAAAAAGTTGGGAAGTAATATATTCGAGTATTAAGTGATGTATTTTTTCGTCGTTCGTTAGTTGTCCAACTCGTTAGGTTTTGTCAAACATGCCTTTTTTTCGATTCAAACATGCGATTTTCTCGTGATGTTTTCCTTCACCGTTCATCAAAATATCAGAGGTGCTAGAAGCGGGATTTGAATCGGTTTTACTTTGTTTTCTAAGTGACCGCGCTATCCATACATACCTTGCTATAAAAAATGGGATTGTGGCCCTTTTATGTAGCTTACATAATATAATTTATTGCATAGAGAAAATTAAAGGTCACTCATCGACCCATAAATTTTCTCATAGTCATCATATAAAATATTAATTATAAATATTATATTTTAATAATCTATTAGAACTTCCAAACTAATTTTTTTTATAGGTGTATGTATGTAACTATGTATGTTTATATCTATCTGTCCACGCATTTCTCCGAAACTAGTAGTCGGATCATGATCATTCATCAAAATCGGTTCAATAGTTTTTATAATACGGACTAAAACCTGTAACGGTCTGACTTATTGACTTACGAGTTACGGGTGTGGTGTCAAAGGGAAAACATCTCAAATCTTAGTTAGATTTTTTAGTTAGATTTGGGTTCATGTAAAAAGAACTATTTCAGTCACTTAAAACTAAAAACTGCGAAATAGCAAAGGTATTGAAAAAAATTAACCCGACTTCAAAAACAAATTAAAACAGTCTTTCTGACACTAATAAGTAAAAAATAACTGAACGGGGGTTTTCATTTAATAGCTATAGTTACCGAGCCGACAAGGCTTTAAGATATGAATATCTAATACGTAAATATGACAGGGTATCGACTCTTAAGTATATAGCTGGCATCGACTTCGACAATATCTGATTGGGTATATATTATAATAAATGAAAACCCTCGTTCAGTTATTTTTTACTTTTTAGTGTCTGGATGTTGGTTTTAAATTTTTTTGAAGTCGATTTATTTATCTTGTTGCATCGAATATTGTCTAATTGATTTAGCAAAATTCTACGAAATTCTCGTAGGAATTCAATCTGATCTCTAATATTTCTTTTTTTTTTCTTTTTTTTTTTATTTATTAAAAATATTTTCAAGTAGGTATTACTATATTTTTTTGGTATATAACCTCATGAGCTTTTCATTTTTCGTTTAAAACGAAATCATTATAATAATAACTAGCAGGTTCTTTAACAGATTCGACAGTATTGTTCAAATATCTTTTGTTCTCATAGCAATAAACATGACGTCTAAGTATATATATTTAGATTGTATTTTCCTGAGCACGCTTTATTCACAAGAGCTTGACTTTGCTTGAAAGTTATAGTATTATATTTATAGTAGATGCTTGAGAGATTATAAAGCAGCTTTCTTCATTTCATTTAGCTACTGACTTAAGGTAGCATTGTATTAAATATTTCTTAAGTTGCTTTGATAAAAGATATCAAGATCCAGACTTAAGAGTCTTTAAGAATATTGTATTGAGGTATTACTGAAAAAAAAGTCGGTCATAACACAAAGCGCGTAAGAGACCTATCACAAAATGTACTGCGTTCTATGGCATCGAATTCGAGCGGCCGTCGCATCGCTGTTTCTAGCATTTTCTGCTGTTGTAATTACTTCTATGTGACTTTTTATAATAAATTATTAAAAAAAGTATGTAATTACGTTCCTTTTGAACTGACGTATATTCTAGTACAAATTTTACTTAATAATAGTTGTAAGGATATATTTACAGCTAATTCTGAACGTTGTTTTCCTTCACCAGCGTTCAGTGGCGGCCTTAGGGGGTGGCAAGCAGGGCAACCGCCCGGGGCCTCGCGCTTGTAGGGGCCTCGCGCCTTCGCATAACAACCCAAGTGTTGATACACTTGGGGTTCAGTTGATTCTGATGAATCTCCTGCCTTAGGCCGGACATTACAAAACCCACATTCCGCCAGTACAAGCATGTAGCATTTAAGTCAATAAGCTATTAATATTAAATTTTACGTTATTATAGTAATTATAGTAAAGAATGAATTAGTAAAAAGACTGCGTACAACTGCTTGTATTTTTTTAATTAATTTTATGTGCAAAAAATATTTTCTAAATAAGTTCGCGCGATTGTGATGCCAGTAGAAAAATTGAGTTTGGTAGTTCAAAAAGGTATCAAGCCATCAAAAGAAAGCAGGTAGAAGAAAATCTGTATGAGTCTATATATAAATATATAAAAGGTGATGGTCAAGAAGCTTCTAAGTCCTTAAGACCTTTCAGTGACTAAAAGTGACATGTTTTTGCATTCTAAGCCTAAGGCAGCTGAAATATTTTTATCGACATCATCTGGGATGCCGTTACTACCTAGCGATGATAATAGTAAGTGAACAACATTATTGTTACTCCACCGCCGCCGCCGTTGTCAACACTATCCAGCCAGAAATACGTATCTACGAGTAAATCTACGTCTACATCCATGAGTGGCGGAATTGAATATCTTATACTCAATACGTAAAATGACCCAGGTTTATGACCATCAATAATTACTGATGCAAACCGAACTGAGATTTCATTGAAAGGTCCAATCCGCGCTAGACAGATTTTTTCCCCGTAAATGATAGTGGACGGCGATTCAGTGAATAGGTATCATTACAATTAAAATATTAGCTTATGGTGAAAAATTGGACAAGCATTGGATGATTTATTCACAAACAAAACTTGCCATTTACTTCTTCTGTCGATTGTTCTGAATAGAATATAAAGAATTGGGTCCAGTGCAGAACTTTGCAATTGGAAACACTTGGGTAAATATTTAAAGTTTCACGACTTCGGCTGCACAAAGATTGATTGTAAAACGGTTAAATTTAGATAACGGATTGTGAACGGATTATTAAATTCAGAGAACGGATTAAAAAGCTGTACAACTATTAACTCTTTAGCCCAGAGGCTTTCCTTCATTGGCCGCCCAAAGTGAAGCGCAAGAGCGAAATCCTTGAGAGGGTAGGAGTGCTCATTCTGTAAAATAACGGGGAAACCCACGAGCACTTGTGATGGTGAAACCGGTGAACACTTCTCGATAACCGTAGCCAACCACACTGATGTTGTGCCCGGGGCACTATGCCATTAGTGGGAGGCGAGTCACCGTCTGCCAAATATTGAATCTGAGACTATTGAGAAGGCGGACATTCGGTAGTCTCATCCAATATCCCAGTTTTTAGCCCGTCCAAATTCCATTCCATAGACTCATTTAGTTTTCCATATTTTCCATAGTCCCTACGCATTGTCCGGAACCATATTTACGCAATTCCTTATGGGTTACTCAGAGATGGATGCCGGTTGATGTGTCATATTAAACACTTAAATCTCTTAAGTGGTCTCTACGTGTTGGACCGGTGTTGCCCACACAAGCCTTCCAAACAACCGAGCTCCTTCGAGCTCGTGAATTCTAAAGAGCAGTGCCGCATTCAACCTTAGTGCCGCCCCTGGACACTATAAAAATGCCGCCCTGTTATCGCAGCTTTGCATAAAATGAATAGTTTCGATATATTTTTTTAAATGCAAAAATAATAGTTTATAAGAGATATTATTTGTTCGAAAAATATATCTACTACTTAGTCTTTTTTAATTATTCATTTTTTGGGAACTAAAAAAAGCATTTTCGATAACGTGAAGACATTTTTTTCCCACCCTCCAAATTTTGCTGCCCCTAAAAATTTGCCGCCCTGAGCACTAGCCCGGAATGCTCCTAGTGTGAATCTAGCGCTGCTAAAAAGATACTAATAATGTCCACTATCTCTGAAAAATTCTTCAAAATGAGCTAATAGAATTAATAGCAAGTTTTTGCGTGCAAAACCTAAAAATGTTGACAAAATAATTTTGTCTTTTTTGTGCTTGCTAATTTTTATAAATTTCAAATATACAATTTTAAAACTCTAAATTTATTTATTTATAAATTTTACATTTCTCGCCAAGCATCATCATTAAAAATATTTTCAATTCACATAAATTTCATAAAAGACAAGGGCCTCGCAAAGATCTCCTGCCCGGGGCCTCGCAATGGCTAAGGCCGCCCCTGCCAGCGTTTTACAGCGTTTTATTATTTAATAATAATATAATATTCTTTATTTGTAGTAAAAAAATCGGTTTACAAAAATATACTCTATATAACTGTTTCGCTTAAGACATAATAATATAAGATTATCCAGTAAGAGTGCTGAGGAGCTCGTACTAGGAAAACCTGTATTACGAGCACAATCATTATGTGCCTAATTGTAAGGAATAGGTAATTTTTTGTATGTAGATATATAAATTCTACGTAGTAGTTTCTTTTTCACTTACTTCATATCAAAGTTTTGAGTGTATAATTAATTATTTATATTACACAGACAGATTTTAAGTATCTTAATTAATATCCAGAATAAGCTTTTTTATATTATAACGAGTATAAATATTATTGCGACATTTATTTTTGATAAAAATATTTCAGCTAAAAGAACAAGCGTTAGGAAGACCAGGTTAAGTTCGAAGCTTTTGCAAGATCATGAATAACATCTCAGAAGAAGAACACCAAAGAAAAGTGTATAAGGATGAAGAGTTGAAGAAGACGAAGCCTACCTGGCCACGTAATGCTGATGATATAATTCAGAAGGAGTAAGTATGATTTCTACAAATCCTTTACAAATGGAACTGTGGAACTGGTAAGATCATCTCACGGTCAAAAACTTCAGAGTTGATTTATTAAATATTTAGAGTAAGTTTTTTGTATATTATAACAAGTAGATTATGTTTTTGATTAAAAGATTTCAGTTTTTAAACACAATTTGTTAAATTATAAATTTTATGATCCAATAAGTCACATCAGGCTTGTTTTTTGTTGCTTATTTGCTCTCACGAGATTATATTATTGATTTTCATGGAGCCTGTGAACATAAGTGCTATAACTTCATATATGACTCGGGGGGTTTACAGAATTCAGAGCTTTCGATAGGTTGTCTAAAAATAGATGAAACTGGAACGCATCGTGTCTTTATGCCATTGGCCAGTGCAGATTCCATTTAATGATGAAAAATAGTCTAGGAGACGGATTTTGATTTTACATTTAGAGTAATATATCAAAAATATTTTTTTAGTAATAATATGCTTATTAAATAATATGTAATTAATAAATAATGAATATTTGGTTTTTAAAATAATTATTTAAATGTGTACCTACCTAAAAATTGATCGGCTTTTGTTGATTTCTCATTAAGCACCCATTAAGACATACGCATGCAGATAAAGTTAATAATGTAAAATATGAAATAAAATATAAAATAATATATAAAAAAGAAAATATCGTAATGTAAAAATGGTAATAGCTCTTTGTGTATTTGATATTACAAGGTAAAAAAGAGCGCGAAAATGCAGACCTTTCCAGCGTGCGCACAGGGTTGCTATTGGTGGAAAAACTGTTGCGTTAACTTTTTAGGCCACGCCCTCTAGCTCGGATTTCCCGGGCTTGCATAATTTGCTGCGGCAGTCGTAATTTAATCTCCAAGTTGGCTTCACGTCTCTTGATATAAAATAAAAGTTGAAATAGCAAACTATTCAATTGAACATTGTTTGAATGCTCCTCATGCTAGTGTTAGAATTGATAATTTTTTTTTCTTTAATTATAAATAAAAGAAATTAATTATAAAAAATGACTGATACAAAAAATTTGCGAGAACTAAGAAAGCGACCTTCTCTGCCTGTGTCTATTCCGATACACATGTAAGTGTATGAAAATATAAAATATATGTTGTCTATGTTTATTTTAAGTTGTTAATTATTAAAAAATGAAAAATATAATATGATGCATCCAACCAATATTTTAATTTGTTACATATATATATATATATATATATATATATATATATATATATATATATATATATATATATATATATATATATATATATGCATACATATATAGTAAATAATATAAAATACGTATATATTATTACAAATTTTGTTCCTTTGAAAGCGCAAAGTCTTTGAACATTGCACACGAATCGCATGCGCATGACATGACAAGTGCAAGAAATGCAAGCTATGCGAACAACATTTTTGTTCCAAAACATACGCAATCATAAGGTACTAATTATGAAGCATTATAAAAAATACAGAACAAAAATTGTTTCAGTTATCACCAAGCTCTACGCAAGGCGTCTGCGATATATAATGAACGAAAAGAAAATGAGCCGAAACAAGCAAATATGATTACTATAAAGAAAGAAAGCGCTGACCAGGCGACCCTAATAGACCAATCGGAATCCGATTATTTTTAAGAGATTTTTTTTATTGAAAACCTGAAGTTTTATGATTTTAAAATGTTAGCAAGTATATAAGGAATAGAAATTCGTAAAATGCCGCCTCTGCCCAGCTACCCCCGAGAAATGGCGGGACGCAAAGCGTTGAAAAATGTTTTTTTTTCAATTTCAGGCTTACTGTGATGTTCTAGCGAAAAATATTTTCTACAAAAGTTGTAGGTTTAGTAAAAATTTACAACTTTAATAACTTTTTACAATAACCTCAAAGTTTTCGAGATATTTGCAAAAAAACTCGGGTTTTAAGTTTTTCTTGGTTTTTTATTTTTAATTTCTAGAATAATTTTTTGATTTCCATGAAACTAAGAGAATGTAATTTTTGAAATACATATAATAAATTAAAAAAAATGAGATTGAAATGTTTAGCCATTTCCGATAAAAGTATGTTTTATGGTCTCGAGAGACTGAAAATCAACCCCAACTTGAAGAAGTTGGCGTTTATTTCTCGAATATTATCTCGAAAACTTTGAGGTTATGGTAAAAAGCGGTAATTATAAATGTTGTAGATCTTTACTAAACCTACAACTTTTGTAGAAAACATTTTTAATAGAACATCACAGTAAACCGGAAATTGAAAAAAACTATTTTTCAACCCTTTGCGTTCCCCCATTTGTCGGGGGTAGCTGTGCAGAGGGGGCATTTTACGAATTTCTATTTCTTATATACCTTTTTTTTTTAACGTTCGGAAATGCATTTACGCACGACGTGTGGGACTCACCGGCGTAATACAGCCAGTACTACCCACTAAAACCCAAAAAAACCTTCCCCCGTCTTAATGGGGCGTCGCAGGATCGCTTACGCATTCAACTACGACGCCCCGACGGCAGGTTTGCCGAATCAGACCACCACAACCATGGGGTTGCTCCAAGGTCCACTCTGCTATCAGAGAAGTACCAGGAGCAACCCGCAAGGTACACCGTCCCCCGAAGAGGGCCGCCTCCCACCGCCCACCGAAGTGGGCAACCTCCCTGATTTCTTATATACCTGCTAACATTTTAAAATCATAAAACTATATCATAAAATATTTGATTCGTTCAAATATATTTGGATGGAATATGAAGCGACGTAATATAATAATATAGGAATTTAATATTAATTATGAAATAATATAGAAATAGTAAAAAATATAATGAAAAATAAAATATGTGAGTAGTTTTAGCTTCACAACTTATCGAAAGATTTCTATTGTATTTAAGATAGGTACTTCTTTAAAAAATGTATGATAATTTGAAAAAAGTAATTGATGAAACAAAAAATTTAATTGATTAAGCATTAACAGTCGAGTCTCGATCGTACCAAAGTTGTAGAATATTCGTTTAATATTAAAAAAAAAACACAAGAAGGTTCAGAAGATTGATATGGTTTGATGAAAGAAAACAAGAATGAGAATAGAAAGTAAACGTTTTTATCCGAATAGAAGTCGAAGAAAGTTTTAATCGAACGATTAGAATATTAGACTTTATAGTTTTTAAGACTTTAGCATACATACTATATTAAGGTAGAATAGATTAAGATTTTTAAAATCAAATCTTTCTCGTTGGTGTTTAACACAAAAAAATAGAAAAAAAATGTTTTTTTTTTTTTAAATAAGAGTTCTAAATGTGTTTATGATATTTAAATATCTATACATATTATTTTGTGAAAGTCGTTATTGCGAGTACGTTATTTATTGATTGATTTTTGATTTAGACGACACGTTTGGCTCAGTTGTAGTGACCCTACTTGCTGTGCCAGGGGCCGCGGGTTATAGTCCCGCTGGGGGTATTCATTTGTGTGTTGAGCATGAATGTTTGTACTCCAGTCATGGGTGTTTATATTTATAATATGTATGTATTTAAAGTTATATATGTGTAGTGTATCAACTATCCAGTATCCATAACACAAGCCTCGTAGCTTACCATGGAACTAGATGATGCTGTGTGTTAATGTCTCAACATATTTATTTATATTTATTATATATGAGTAGATGATTTAGATGACTTAGAGATAATTATTGTAAGATTAAAATGATAAAATTAATAGTTCATAGTGACAAAATATGAATGTTACCATATCATTTGGAATAGTATTAACATATTGTAAACTAGCGGTTCACCCTGGTTCGTCGATAGGTACTTTTTAACGGTTAGTATGGAATAGATAGACTACGAATACATATTATATGATTAGCTTATAGCCTTCCTCAATAAACGGGCTATTTAATACAAAAATAATTTTTCAAATTGGATTAGTAGTTTCTGAGATTAGCGCGTTCAAACAAACAAACATACTCTGCCTCTTAATAATATTATAAGTATAGATAATATATTGGCCGGGAATGAAGCAAGAATAGTGTAGAAGTGGTATAACCACTGGTTTAATAAGAGAAGATAGATTATGGATTCCACAATATTTTAAGCTTAATTATATTTTTTTTTCTTAGATTAGGTAGCCAACCAATATATTATCCATGTTATGTTATCTTTAATGAATCGTAGTTCGCTTTAAATTGTAGATTAGTACCTGAAATTTGATTCAGTGTAAAAGTTTTAGGGTTTTATAGCCATCAATTAGAGCTTAAAACAATGTTATTGGTAAAGGTGTTTTAAAATTTGCTATATTTTGTTTCATAGCTTACTGGTAGTACAATATAATTATTATTATTAATTTATTTGCTAAAACATTAAACAAATTTTAAATGTAGATTTTCGTAGACATGTTTTAAATATATGTAAATAAACTTTAATTAAAAGTTAGGGTTTTAAATATAATAACTTAATTGTTAAGTTATTATCTTCATATATTAATCCTTCAAAGAAAACTTAAATACATTATAAGTGTTGTAAAATTCGAATCTCAGTGTAAAATAAATGTTTTCGTAGTGAAATAAATTACTTTTATTTAAAAAGTGAACCTTATGTTGTACATATATTACTGATACTACCCGCAAAAATTCAGTAGAGAGTTTGTAAGAAGACGACTGATCTTATACATAGGGTAATTACGAATATTTTACTCTATGCCTTTTTCTTGATTAAAAGTAACTGCGCCCCACAGACAGTCTAAAAACCACGAAACCAAAAAACTAAGTATTTTGACAATAATAATAATTTTTGTATAATAGATTTTCAGCCAATACAAATTAAAGTACCCGACAGTACACCGACTTTTAAAAAAAATTATTCTTCCATTTTTAGTGTAGATATAGTAGTAGGAAATTAGAAGAAAGTGTTTTAAAATTCAGTAGGTGAAAAATTAATTATCCCCTATTTTTTACACTGAGGGGTGAATGTTTTTTTCAAATTTCATTGGAACCAATTTTGGGGTATGGTTATATACCTCAAAGTTGGTCCCATAAAAAATATATTCAGTAAAAAACCATAATTATAATATCTATTATCTACACATCTTTAATATGTTCATGTTCTTTAATACGTTTCAATTACTCTAGTTGAAAAATATACAAGTTGTGTACCTGTTAATTATATAATTAATCCGAAAATGCCTACTAAGCAATATTCAATGAATTTAGCAAAATTAATTTTATGATTATTTATAAAAAGAATTTTTTATAAAAATGTATAGATACTTTTAAATAAATATTTTTAACCGACTTCCAAAAAAACGAGGAGGTTCTCAATTCGTCGGAATCTTTTTTTTTTTATGTATGTTCACCGATTACTCAAAGACGCCTGAACCGATTTGGAAATTTTTTGTTTTGTTTGAAAGGGTGTACTTCCCAGGTGGTCCCATATAAATTTTATTGAAATCGGTCAAGCGGTTTTAAAAAAAATCAACAATAAAGATTTTTTTTAAAGAAATTGTTTAATCGAATATGTTATTAAAAACTTTCTTCCTACAAATTACCTGCTTATTATGTTTACACTAAAAATATAAAAATAAAAACTTAAAAAAAAACCGACTTCCAGGCACTAAAATGTAAAAATTAACTAAACGGAGGTTTTCATTTAGAATAGATACCTAATCAGATATTTTCGAAGTCGGTGCCAACGGACAATATTTTAAGATATGAATATCTAATAGGTAAATATGTATTTTACGTGTCAAAATATATTACATTTCCTATGCGTCGACTGGCACCGACTTCGAAAATATCTGATTAGGTATCTATTCTAAATGAAAACCCCCGTTTACTTATTTTTTACATTTTAGTGCCTGGAAGTCAGTCGGTTTTTTTTAAGTTTTATTAAATTTACTAGCGGCTCACCCTCGCTTCGCTCGGGTTCACCTGTAGAAAAGCACAAACAGATCTATCCCACGGGAACCGTTCATTTTTCCGAGATAAAAATAAAATAAATAAAATAAAATAAGTAACCTGTTGTTTGACCTGCAATATAAGGTATCAGCATGCCAAATTTTACTAAATTAGGTGCATAAGTTGTTGTGTACTGAGCTGTATAAGTTACTATAATTTTTTAACTATCCCATGGGAACTCTTTAATTATCCGGAATGAAAAGTAGCTGATTTGTTTTTGTCATGTATGAACTATATTATTGTAAAGTTTTATTAAAATCCAATCAGTAGTTTTTGTGTACTAAGCTGTATAAGTTGTTATAGTTTTTTAACTATCCCACGGGAACTCTTTAATTTTCCGGGATGAAAAGTATCTAAGATGTTGCCCGGGGATATAAGGTACCATCATGCAAAATTTCATTTAAATAGGTCCAATAGATCCGGAGATTAGCCCGTACAAAGAGAAAAACAGATAAACAGCTCGCTCGGGTTCGTCCATACATACGAAAATGTTGTATTATCTCTTTAACCATTTGTCAGGTTCAGTAGATCCAGAGATTACCCCCTACAACGTCACAAACTCACAAACTCACAAACCCACAAACTCACAAACTCACAAACTCACAAGATCACAAACTTTACCTCTTTATAATATTAGTATAGATGATAAAGAAGTGTAGTACCTCTTCCCTAGTAAGGATTCTATCTCAATCGTTATAAATAT